CACGCCGCCGCCGCCGCCGATTTTTGCCTTATTTGACGCGCCGCCGCCAAATTATGAAAATAACGGCGCGCCGCGGCGCGCCGCTGGTGCGGCATCGGCGCAGCTTCAGCGCGGCCTTCAGTGTCATTGTTCTTTATAAAACTTAAAAAAAAAAAAATAACTCATTAAAATGGCCTTTTTGCCTTATTTGACGCGCCGCCGCCGCCGGTTCTTTCTGACTACTACGCCGCCGCCGCCGAGTCATTTTGACCTCTACGCCGCCGCCGATGCCTTTAACCATCGGCGTAAACCTCTACTCCCTCCTCCTCACACGCAATTAAGTCGGCGGCTTTAGAACTTTGCCACGTTTATGGGCCAAGCCAAAGCGCATTAGCACAAACAGCAGTTGGCCAGCAGCCGGATCCTCTGGCTCCCTCTCCCATTCGCCCGAAAAATAAGCCAATATCCGTTAGATAAAACAATCGCATTGATTCGATTGAGAGGATTCTGATTCCGATTCCATTGCTTGAACTTTGATTAAGTGTCTTCTCCATATGCAGCAGAGGGGCCAACTGTAAGTCGCGATTGCAGCAGGAGGGAATTGATTATGACCAAATCAATTAACAGTCCCATTAAGGCAGCCATTGAGCCTCAATTAGAGAGCTGCCTCGGCCCATCAACGGGCGAAATGGCGGCAATTATTTATACCTAAGTGTACAGTAGGGCCAGCCTGCCATGAATTGATTGCCCAGGAATAATGGATTTCTTCCATGGGATGGTCAACTTTATTTGCTTCGGGAAATGTTCTGGGTACGTTTTAAGAGCTTTGAAATATCCACAAAACCGATACATGGGTAAGTCCCCCGAAACAGTACCCGCTGCAAAAAAGAACAGAGTTCCCTAAATTGCTGATTTTTTGTTTGAAATATGTTTAATTTATCTTATGTTTTATGATTTAACTTTTAAATTATGAACAAGCTCAACAAATATTGTTCTTGTTTCTTGGAATTCATAATTCAAATAAAGAGTACGAGCTGCTCTAGTTTCCAAGAAAACATTGCAATTGCAAAATGCTCTTGTGAACTAGGACTGTTTGCAGGCAGCCAATTAGGTACTGACGTCCCGATTCCTGAATTTCCTATTTCCTGGTACAGCTAGATTTTCTGAGAAATTGTAATAGCAACCCCATTGCCCTTACCGGCAATGCAAACTTAAGCTGACGATAATTACCCAAAAGGGTTGAATGAAAACAAGGCAATTTTATGTTCCATAAGTGAATGGCGTGACAAAATCAAAATGGCAAAAAAAGGACATCGCTAATGGACGGAATTCGCCCTTAAATTACATAATCACAGTTCATACATACATATGTACATACCTATAGAAACTAGTCCTTAAATTTTAAGGCAAAGCTGTCAAATGTGTGCAAGGATACTTGATGTATTTGCCTTTCTAAATACAATTTCGAATACTTCGCCTCTGGGCAATGTTTAAGAAGATTTTTAATCAAATGTAAATATATTTATTATCAATAAATAAATAATATTAATATTTATAATGTTAATTAAATATAGGTGGTTTATGGAAATCTAATTTTCTAATAATGACTGCCTTTTGCCTGTGTGTGGCATTATAAATTCGAAGGGAAACCCCTTAAATTTTTCCCCTCGATCACCATAACGAGTTTAATTAAATTATCACTGTGCGAATATGGACCAAAGCTACCGTGGCACTGGAAAAAAATTGAAAACAATGAATGGGCAAATGAAATTATTGAATGAATTGGGAGCTAGCGAAGACCAGAGACCCAGAGGACCGAGGGGATAGCGAGAGAAATACCGCAAAACCGCAGTCAACTACAAACGGCAAACAAATTGACAGAGTTTTTTTTTTTATCACGCGAACTCTTAGCTCTTTCGAATGACAGGCAGCGGCAAAGTGGAGCACTTGTGCACTTGTCGCCTCCATCCGTGCCCCGCTACCTCTTTTTCCGTGGCTCGTTCACCGTTCCGTCCGTCCATTGCCATTTGGCGTGCCGTTTTACGGGCTGCAGCTAGTCGACGGAGGTCGCAGGTCGCGGGCTTTTGGCACTCGGGCGACATTTGACTCTGCTCAATTAAGTTCGATTTGTGTTGTACTTGGCATCTTTTATAGTTTATTTAACGAGCCTGTTAATTTGCATCGCCCCGGGTTTTGCGTTTGGGAGAGAAAGATTCGAAAGTCGCGGGTCCAAGAGCCTAATTGCTTTGCTACATTGAATTGTTTGGCAATCTAGATTGGATCTGGCCATCGATAACTTCAGTGGGTGACCCCAAAAAAAGTGTTGCTTGACTGAATAAATTGACATAATTCAATAATAAAGTGGTTTTATAGTAAATGGTTAAAGGAAAAATCTGCATATCAAGAGATATGTCTTAAGTTTAGTTAATTTACTATGTGAAAAATGTTATACTTTTTTTCAAATAATTGTGGTTAAGCTTTGTTTTAACTATTACACATAAATATACAATTCCATACAAATTTTTTCTTTTGTTATAAAAATATTATTGAATGGAAAACTTGTGAGATTAAAAGATAATTTTATATCATAAAATTATCAGTAAGACTTGGAGACTTTTACCTCCCGATAATATAATGTTTATCTTAAACCCTGTTAACCCAACCTTATCAATTCATATTTTTATTTAATTAAATTCCATAACAAATGCTATAGTCCTACCTCTATTTGCTATTTGAGTGGCACAACTAATGGAATATTCTATTGGAGCCCAGCTCTTATTTTATTAGTTTAGCTTTGATTCTCTTGTTTAACCCAAAGCGGTAGTATACCTACCTAGGTTTAAATATAGTTCTCCTGTAAGCAAGCATCTTTAGATAGCCCCAAGAACTTTACGTATATTTTTGTCTATCTCATCACAGTTTCCAATTGTTCTGTAATGTAACATTCTTCCCTGCTGACGTATCACTCAACACACAAGAGTTGGAAAAGAGGCAAACAAAGTGAAAAACTGGCATCGTAAACGTTTCCTCAATAACCTTTGGTTTGAGAATTATGCTTCAAGTAGCAGTTTTCTTCAAAACTTCCGCTTGTATCGCCGCTTGCAGCCACACCCACTCCCACTCGCCTTCTGCATGTCACACCACCCACCTCCACCGCTCACTGTTTTCCTTCCGTCCTGTGCCGTCCATTGTTTCGTTAGTGTTTCCTGGCCGCCATTCGATGCTTCCGCCTGCCATTTATCGCCCCTTCTCGGCCCACAAGCTACCCGGTACCCGGTACCCGCTTCCCGGTAGCCACTCCACCGCCTGAGAGCCGTGTTGCAACATGAGCTGCAATCCACAGGATTGCTGCTGCTGCTGCTGCACGCCACTCCACTCCACTTGTGCTCCTTGTTGCTTGTTAGGGCGTTTAAAAGTTTTGCCTGATTGCACAGAACAACAGCGAGTTACTGTGGCAGGATTAATACGTCTACACTTGGGGAAAAGCTTTGCAAAACCAGGGGCAATACAAATTATTGAAACAAATGATTTTATTCTCTCTGACTATGTACAGAACATGAAGTCTCGCATACTTTCTTTTTTTGCATTGTAAACTGTATTGATAAAATTCAAAAGTCATCATCCTTTCAGTGTAGTGCATCTCTGCTTCTTATGTTCAAATATCCAGGAACATGCTTGTGTGTAGGATGTTAAAGTGAAAGCGAACCACAAGAGTATGTTGCAGCTTTGTCCTTTCGCTGCCTACAAGCTGCATCCTTTCCTTTCACATTTCTTTTTTTTTTCTTTTTTGGCGAGTCAAAGTCAATAGGATTAACTGGCATTTCAATGTCACTGGCCCAACCTGGTTGTAACCAGCACAAACACACCCACACTATACCATCCTCCTACACCCAGTCCCAGTTGGTGTACACACGTGCGATTGTTTCAATGTCAAGTGGCGTCGATTGCCTTCACTCGCTGGCGGATGCAGACGCACTTCTGGCTAAATCTCAGCCTAAGGCTAAGGCTAAGGCTGCAGCCACTTGCGGATTGGGGTTGATGTCAAACAGTGGCGGTAGCTCTTTAAGCTTTTGTTTCATGGATTCTGTTTAAAATTAAACAATCTTGTTATATTCGTTTTGATCTTCTGTAAGTAATGTCTTAGTCTTGAATGTGATAATTTCTCATTTCTAATTCCTATGAAAAGCCAATTCGAAAAAATATATAAAATTTTCACCTGCATTTACCATTTCCTATTTTCAGAAAATATCTTAAATTATCTTAATAGCGGCTATGAATCAGTATTCATCCAAGCACTGGGCGCAGAGTGGCACAGCACCACTTGAGTCGAGGTGAGGCGAGGACTTTCCAGAAAGCCACATGGCTCCTCCTCGACAGTGTTTAGTTTTCACACTCGGCCGGCACTGAGGCAGATGCAACTGTTGCTGCTGCCATTGTTCTTGATGTACCCTTGCACAGTGGTTCACTTGTTCTATCCATTAAAACTTTATAGAAGGACTTGTTTTTAGCGGAAAACAGACCTAATAGAGATTCTTAACTTCTATTCTATTGATAATTTTAAAAAATTCAATAAAAAACATTTAAGCAGGCTACAATTATAATACCCTTGTATCCTATGGGTACCGGGTTAAATGAAGATCTTTTTGCGGATCTGAGTGAATCCTATCACATCCTTGAGGTCCAAGCTGACATTAAAAAGAGATAAGAGCAAAAATACCTTATGAACCTGTACAAATACCGGATATATGAAAAGGAAAACCTCTAAGAGCTCTGATAATAATTTTAGGATTAGGTAGAGGCCGGCATTTCCGCCACTGTGCGGTGAAAGTGTGTGCAATAAATTTTCCCCTATCTATCGGCACCGAAAAACCGAAAATACAATTTTCCAACGCACTTAGTCAAGTGCTCCATTTCCGATAAACGCTCGTTTATTTTCCCCCGTGGCAATATATGTACATAGAACAATGAGCGGTAGAGCCTCAGCGATGAGTTTCCACTTCCGGTGGAAAATGCACACTTACCCAGAAGCAGGAGCTTGATGTCCTTGGCCGCCTGAATGCCATCCTCCTTGAGATTCTTCTCGATCTGTTTCGATCGCTGTATGGCGGCGCGTTCCTCGGCGGATGTGGTGCAGCCCATTGTGGTTTTTTTTTAGTGGTTCGGGATTTGCGGAGGTGCGCTGGAGTCTGGACTTGGATCTGGATGAATACGGGGACTTTTCTCTTTCTCTTGTCTCTCTGTCTGTATATCTCTTTGTTGTTGCCTTATTTGTTTATGTACAGTTTAACGGTCTCCGTCTTCATTAAAAACAATAACAAATGCACACGGGTCAGGCGGGTGACTCACGGGGGAAGTGTGTAATGGGCCAAACAAGGACAACCGTATGGCTGCTGCTTCTAACTGTAACTGGGCCTACTTTTATGGCCGACACTGTGTGTCCAATAGGGCGCGCACTGTGCCTTCAACTATGTTGTTGTTTTTGTTTTATTTGTTATCAGGCAGACGAAGAGCAAAAACCAAAAGCAAAGACAGTCGCAAAGGCAATGATAGCCAGCTAATTTGCATATGGAGCATGTTTTGTGATATCAAAAAAACAACATAAAAAAAACAAAAAACTCATCAATCGCTCTGATAAGATAAGGCATCGGCCAGCGATATCGCCAGATCTCGATAAGAGCGAGCTAATTTATCATGTAAGTGAATTAGTTTTTGGGAAATATATCCTTGCTTTTGCTTTTACTTATTACTCATTTTTAGATTATTTTTGAAACATGATTTTTAACTGTTTTTTAGTCCGTTTTGTGTTCTTTTTTGTGTATGTATTTAGCAGAGGGCGTAGGCGCAATGTGCCGGCTATTTGGGAAAACGCGGGCGTGGTTTGGGTTGTTCCGGGGTTTTTTTCCCCTTTCCGGAAAATTAAATGTTGCCAAAAATGTAAGCTCCGTTTTTATGCGCTTTTTATGCAAAAAGAACAGTGCGTGGGCATCCCGATTTCGATTGTATAAATTTTCATTTAGTTTTCGTTTCACTCACTCGCACTCACTCACTCACAGATACTCACGCACACACTACGCACTCTCGCGCGCTGCACACGCCACACCCCCCGCCCACTGGGCCGCGCCACCCACCACCACCCATCCCCTTTGAGTTTTCCTTTTCTTTTTTTTTTTTGTTCACATTTCAGCTTTCAGCTTCACATTTACCACCGCCTAGTTTTCCAGCCAGCGCCGTATACACACCACAGCACAGTATGCCTGTGTGCTGCTGCTTTCGCGTGAGTGTATGTGTGTGTATTCGTAAAGCAGGAGAAGGCTCTTTCTTCCTCTCAGCTTTGGGCCCTTTTCCCAGCGCTTTTTCGTATCGCGTCCCGCTTGCACCCGCACTGATCGTGTTAGGCGTTTACCGTTGCACTTTCCGAGCACTTGCACTTGTACTTTTTGCCGCAGTGATATTGGTAAATTACACTTTTTGGTGTGCGAAAAATTTGGCTGCTCTCTCGCTTCGTTCTCTCTTTCAAACTGCAGAGTGGCGGCCAGCTGTTTTGCGCAGCTCTTGCGCAGCACTGGTCGCCGCGGGGGAGGGTGTTGGCTAACACTGGTCGCAACAGCTGATCTAAAAGCCAAATTATAGAAAAAGAAGCGCGTAAATTCAAATTAAAAATTTTTCAATTGGAAATAGTAGTAGGTGGAAAATCAATATAGAAAGGCTTCAGATTTTGGTAAATAATCTGAAAGTTATTTATTTAATAAAAGATAATACTAACAAAGCTTAGCGCTCCTCTATAATTTAATTTGTTATTGTTTGTAATTAATTGATAATTAACATTAGTTTAAATGTCACAAATTTTATAATAAAGCATAATTGTTATAGAACTATTTTCCTGGGAGATATTCTACGCTCGGAACTCTTAGTCTGAGGCGTTAAATGGTTTTTAATTCTTAATATCTCTTGATTTTATGGGTAATCTCCAGCTTATCTATTCGCTGGATATGTTGCCTTGAGTCTGAGGGAATGTGTGCGAAAATAGGGCCTCACTCGCCGGCTCCGCCACTTTCTGCGTGCTCTTGATGATCTTGTGCGTGCGTCGCATATGGACCCCCAAGCTAACGCGCTCCGAGAAGCGTGTGGTACACAGGGAGCACTGCAGCGTCTTCTCCTTGTGGATATGCCGATGTTTGACCAGGGCATTGGCGTTGGTGAATGTCTTTTGGCAGATCTCGCATACCTTGTCGCGGATGTTCAAATGGGCCTTCACGTGATCCTTAAGGTCGCGCTTGGTGAGAAAGTCCTTGGTACACATGGTGCACTTAAAGGCGCGGATTTTCGTATGCACCGCCGTCACGTGGGTGGTCATTTGGATCTTCTGCTTGAACGATTTGCCGCAGAACTCGCAGACGAACGGCTTTGCCACGTGCTTATCGTCGTGGGTGCGCTTGTGGGCGGCCAGCTGGTTGTTGAAGGCGAAACTGCGCTCGCAGAGATCGCAGGCGAACGCCTTGCTCATGTGCACCCGCTGGATGTGCTGATGTAGGTGACAGCGTCGGTCAAAGTTCAACTCGCATACCGTGCACCTGAACCAGCCGCCGTCGCCCATCTTGTGGTCCCGGAACTGGTGCGCCTGCAAAGCGTGATCCGTGCTGAAAGCCTGTTCACACGCCTCGCACTTGAGCTTCTGGCGAAAGGTCTTCGTGGGCATGAAAGCCCTGCAGCGCTCAATGTACCGCTTCTCGGCCAGGGAGAGACCCACCGACTGAACATCGGTAAGGGTTTTTATCCTGCGCGAATACCACTGACGCAGGCTCTGAATACTGTCGTACACCTCATAGTGGGTGTGCAGGCCTAGGCCGGAAATTTCCCCGCTCAGCAAATCCGTCATCTCCAAGATGGCCGACTTCCGTTCGCTCAGATTCGAGAAGTGTTTGTGCGCCGGATCATACAGATGCGGGAACTTTTCGTACAGCTCGATGAACAGGCTGGTCAGCCGGTTCTCTTCCGTAAACACCAGCTGCCGGGGAATATACATGCGTATGTTCAGTTATCTCTGATTTACGTGTTGAGTGTCCGATCAACCCACCTTGATCTTGGCACAGCCCTCGTCCTCGTCACTCTCGGCCTCCGCGGGATCTCCACACTTGGCCAGGAAGGTGTACTTGGCGTGGTAGTACAACGGCACCTGGGTCAGCTTTTGGGTCTTCTTCTGGCGCGTAATGGACACATATTGGGAGTGCAAGCTCGAGATGCACTTCTTCAGCTTGTACGCAGTGAGATGGAGGTTGACGGAGGTCTTTAGCTGCTCCAGTAGCTCCTCGTAGGCAGCGCTGCGCTTCTCCTTGTCCTTGAACGCCTCATCCGCTGGGTCCCAGAGACAGGGTTGTTGCTGGTACAGCTCAATGAACCGTGTGATCCTTGGGCTGCGCCGATAAAATGTGGGATTAAACTGCGCAGGTGGGAGAGAGACCAGAGACCTTGATGAAAGGCATAGTTTTCTTGGCCGCCGCCGTCAAAGGTGCTTACTTTGGACAAGGGGCTGAAATCTGTGGCTCCCGACTCGCAGTCAAGCGCCATGCTGGCATCGTCGACCTCTCCGTCTCTCGCTTCGCTACCGGACTCTGGCTCCGAGGACACGGGCAGGTCCACGAACATGTCCTCGGCCAGACAATCTTCCTCCTCCGCCTCCTGCTTCTCGCTGATCTCGCTTTCACAGAACTCAGTCTCCACGGCTTCCTCTTCTGCGGCGTCCTCCTTCTGGTGGTCTCTTATGTGCTGGATAAACTCCCGCCACCGCTCCAGCTCCATTTCCACAGGGCAGGGTCTGTCATCGTCTTGGCCACCGGCACCTGTACAGGTAAGCATAAAGTGCTCGTAGTTGTTCCAGGCCAAAAGATTCGCGCAAATCATATTACAAATTACAAACAAATGAAATAGTGGTGCCAACTTGGCTTATTTCAGGCTAAATCTATTATCTGAAAAGCTAGTAAAACTTAGTAAAACTTATCATCATGGTTTAAAATATATTATTTCTAATTTTATATATGACACAATATTAAAAAATAATTGTAGTTAATTAATTTTTTGTTTAAACATTTGTCTTTATTCCATTTTCATAAAAAATTATTAATATACATGCAGTAAAACAGTGCCAACTTAGCTATTTTCTGGCCAGATCTGGCTCGACTGTGACATCACTATTATAATTTTAACACGTCTTTTATCGATAGAGGTGACAATGAAATCGATTATTCATTAGTTTGAATTTTTGACAAACTGTCACCAGACATAACCATAAGGCTACATTTCACTTTTAGTAACTATACAGAAACATAAAATGTAAATCATACATAAAATTTCAAAAATCATTGGTGTGAATTATCTGGTTCTTCAACTCCGACCGCGTCTCGTGCACATGGGCTACCACATTTCTCATGTGCGCCTGGTAAATGCAGTAGTCCTGGATGTTCAGCCGGACCCTGTTCTTCTCAACGGCGCCGTAAAGGTAAGAGTAGACGATGTTATCCACGGGCACATAATACTTGAGCCAATTGCGCATGCGATAACTTTGAAAAACGTTGAATCAATAAAAATGGAACAACTTAACTTAATACTATTCAGTACTTACACCAACTCCGATTTGCTGTGCAAAAAATTGACAAACTTTGCCAGATTCTCCACGTCTTTACTCAAGCTGTAAGTATAAATAGGAAACTAGTTAATATCAAGTGCACAATATACTTTTGGTACAGGTCAACCCACTTCTCCTCCGATTCCGCGATGGTGGTACCGTCGCGAATAATCCGGACCTCCAAATAAAAGCCATGGCTGTACTTGTATCGCAAATACTGCAGGCTGCCAATGGCCAGCATCTCGCCGTGCATGAAAAGGATAATGAAGTCTGCCAGAATTTTGCACTCCAGCTCATCATTGGTGGCAAAGATCATAGTCTTGCCGCAGTATCGCATATATCTCAAAATATTCCAGATCTCTCGCCTTGTCGTCGCCGGCATTCCGGCGGTGGGCTCGTCCAGGACCAAGATCTTGTTGTATGCGACCAGTGCTAGGGCAATCTTAACCTTGGCTCGCTTCTCCGCCGTTAGGAGACTGCACCGGCGGTGCATCCAACCGGTCATGTTGAGCATCAGGCACAGATCGTGTATCTTCTCGCCGATTTTCGCCTGTGGAACGCCGCGGATCATGCACAGCAGGCGGATATGCTCCCTTGGCGTTAAATTGGGCAGCAGGCCTCGGTGCTGCGGACAGTAGCCCATGTAGGTATGGATGCTCTCCAAGTCGTACTTGAAGTCCAAGCCCCGCACGTAGATCTCGCCGAAGGCGAATCCCTTCTCGCCCACCAGCTGCTGGATCAGGTGGCTCTTGCCGGAATGGCGAGGCCCAAAGATGCCCATGCTCATGTATCTGAAAATAATGTCAGTAAATGGTTTGGATACTTTGAATTCTACCTTCAAATAAGTATGTTAATCTATTAACGATAATACATTTTGTAAAATCTCTTCATTGTTTCGTTTAAACTTACTTGTTTAAGGCAAAAGAAATGGTGTGGATTCTATTGCCCGAGTGTGGGATCTTAGCTTCCACCTGGTCCACCAGGAACACAGACTGTTTTGCCTTGGTGTTTTCCGCGTCGGCGATCTTTTGCTTCACATCAGCCACATCGCCGTCGTCAAAGGGATACGTAGCGGTCCGCATTTTATGAAGGCTGCACGAGATGCACAGGAAAATATTCAACTGAATATGGATTTTTTATTTGCTGTCTAACTTACTCTCTGGAGGAGTGGAATTTCCGCTCCCGCCGCTGTAGCTCTATCCAGAAGATGAGTAGCAGACCAATAATAGCGCAAAGGATCATGCAGAGCATAGCTGGCAAAATTCCCGGTGCAGCCCATTTAAAGTATGTGTCAACTGCAAATAAAATTTAAGCAGGTGCATTAAAAACCAAAAATATTACAAATTATTATTAAACCAGCAGGCACGATCATAGAAATGCTCTCAATTTGGTCTGAGCTCGAGAATATGACTGAACCGATATTGTCTTTTGTGTTTCCCTCCCAAGAAGAACCTATAAAAATTGTATAGCCTGTCATTTGTTGTGCGTGTGATTTCGCTTAAATGTACTAAGCTCTCTTGCTGTAAAATTCATAAGCTATAGTTCCTGTTTACATGTACATTGCACGCAATGCGTGGAAGATGAAAACAAAGAGATATGGGATTGAAATTAACAAGAAAACTTTCAAAAAAACAAGCAGTTTTATGAGAAGATAAGATGCACTCGCATTTCAAGCGCGAAAAAAGACCGAAATTAAACGGGGCTCCGGACTCATTTTTAATCGAGTTCGAGATTTCGAAAGATCTTCGAATCCATAGAGACTCTAGTGCAAGATTCGATAAATTATAAGTGGATCTTCTAAATACGTATAACAGAATTATAGAAAAAAAGACGCGGACTCACATTTGCAGTTAGGCACTACCTCCTGCATGTTCTCCCGTGTGCAGCCTGCGTAATTCTGGCACTTGTCCCTGCACAGCCTGTGCTCCGCGGACTGCGTGTAGATGTTGCTGATCCCGTCAAGCAGCGAGAAACCAGGCGATATGCAAGCGCTGTAGAAGAATAACATGTTGCTATTGGCCACTTCCCAGTAGATGATGTACAGTACGAGGCCGGATGTGCCCTGCAGGATCATGGAGACCAGAAAGGCCCGTATTATACTAGAGTTCACAAACATGGTTACCAGATAGGTAATCGGCAGAGCCGCCATTCCAAAAAAGGCCAGCAGAAGAATGATGACCAGGTTATCGACCATACCGAACTCGCCGATCCGAAATACAGCCATGATCAGCACAATGATGACCGAGTATACCACAAAGTTGAACCAGTCCCAGAACAGGTTGATGCCCCAGTAGGCCGACAGGCCCAAACCGGCAATGTGTTCCAAAAACCGAAAATTTTGGATTTTCTCCTCCACTATCGAGATGACAAACACGGATACTATGATGGGGATGATGCATCCGATCGCCAAAGGGGCGTGAATATGGGCAATCTTGTTGTCCAGCAGGTTGATCTTCTTCGACAGTCGCGTGGGCATCGGATCGTTGGTCACCATAGCCGCTGTGTCGGTGCGATCCGGGTAGGTAAGTCTGAGAAATTACAAACCGGGTTAATGAATGGAAAATCAAGTAAAAGATATGTTTTTAAATAGAAATAAGTTTCATTCAGATGGCTCAAAAACTGAGAGACTACTTTGCATAGTAATGGACAGACCAGCGCACAGGGAGGCGGACAGTCGAACATGACTAGATCGACCCGGCTGCTAATGCTGATCAAGAATATTATTTGATAGAGAAAAACATACTAACTTGAGGATAATGTTGTGCATCAAATTAAGCACCATGGGTGCCGAGTGGAAGATGTCCGCGATGATGTACCCATTGAGTTCGCCGTCGCCATTAGACTCCACGGCTCCCATGCCCTTAAGCTCGCTACTCTTTTGTAGATAGTCCCGATACGATTCCTTTGCGCAAACAAACGAGTCCGATGTAAAAAGTTTTGACTTCGCAACGCGACTGTCATCTTCCGATGTTGTCGTAATTGTCTGTGTCGATCTGATATCAATGTAACCGCAACCCTTGATATCCGGCAAAGACGAAACATCCGCTAATTCCTGGGTTCCTATTAGGATTGAGTTAGCGCGGTTCTTCGGCGAGCCGATCAGCACCGTTAGGCGTGCGATAATTGCGATCAATAAAAAGGTGGCGATAATCATGATGATAGGCCAAACATTCGGCGCCGAATTGATAATTTTCTTGTAGAACATGGCCCGAATACGCTGTCTTCTTAGCTGTCTCTTGGACACCACCTGGTACTTGAAGGTTTGACCTGCACAGCGTGGAAAAACGTTCCATTACCCCATATCCCTTATTTTATATAACTGAAGATCTCGAAACTCACTGACATCCGAAATGATCTGCTCCTGCAGACGAAATGAGGTGACCAGCTGCATGTAAATATCGGATAGCTCCGCACCCACTACTTTGAAGTTCTCGATGCCCAGCGCCTTGCGACCGCTCTCCAGGTGAATAAGCATCTTCTGCAGACGCGTACGGAACGTTCCAGGCAATCGGTAGGTTAGTGTATCTCCGATCTCGTTCTCTGGCTCCACCATTGGATCAAACTGGCGGATGAATTCAGTGATGGGATCATCCGGGACGTGTGGTTTCTTAATGATGACCTACAAATCCATAAACATTAGGCGTTTCAAATGTAGATTGATATGTAATAAGTATAGCAAGAGTATGACACATACCAGTTCTACGGAGCTGTTAAACTTGGCTCGCAGGAAAAACGGAGTGCCGCTGGCCTCCAGTACACCCATGTTGAGGATTCCGAGCCTATCGGCCACATGTTCCGCGTCTCCAATATTATGGGTGGCAAAAACGAATGCCCGATTCTCCTTCTCCGCGTTAACAATCGACCAGAAGACCTGTGCCTCCCGATAGGAAAGCCTTTTAGTGGGCTCTTCCATAATAATGATCTTCGTGTCTCCGGCCAAGCAGCAGCACACTGCAACCAAGAGCCGCGTGCCCATATGTAGCTGCCCAATTTTGGCACTCCGACTCTCGATGAGGGGATCAAGCACTGCCAGCCACTTGCGTTTCTCAATCTCAAATCGATCCGAGTCTTTGGCCGACAGCTTGAGGCGCACATGAAAGTCAATGGTCTGCTCCACTGTTAGCTTCTTGTTAAGTCCATGCTCTGCGAAACGGAAGTCCACCAGGTGACGTTGCTCTCCTGGAAGTGCACGGGATAAACTTTTAAATTAGGTCTCACACACAAAGCATCCCTACCTACCGGTGTTTACGAAAGGGCTACCCATAAACAAGGTACTGCCGCGAATTGGAAATTTCAAGCCGGCCATCACCCTAAGGAGGGTGAGTTTTCCCGATCCTATATGGCCGAGAATCACATACACCTCGCCCTGGTATATGCGGAGCGATATATTCTTGAGAATCTTTCGCTCCGAGTCTCGGTGTGTGGTACTGATGTGGCGCAATCTCATTAGCTCTACGACGCCAGCGTCGCCGAACTCGAAATTGCTGATGCTTGGCACCTTGTTCAAGTGCATAATGACCATATCCGCTTCTTTCGCCTTTCGTCGCCGATTGTTGACTATTCGCCGGCTGAGATACCTACCCGGTTTTCGCCACTGCAGCGCCAAGAGGAAGAAGTAAAAAATCAAGGTCGATCCTATGACCGAGGCGAAGAGCACCACGTAATCATTGGTTTGTATAACTTGGGGGAATTCGTAGGAATACCGAAAAAGCTCCATGGCAAACAGGATCTGGCAATTGAAGAAGCTGACTAGGATAAAGAAGATATGGTACTTGTGGATGTCCCAGTAACGTTCCAAAACAGTGGTGAAGGCGGCATACGCAAAGAGCCACATGGCCAGGCCAAACAGAACCCCATTGGTAGGATCGGCGAATATCTTGGCCACAACCATTGCGGTTACAATAAGCTCCACGGTGAACAGCACCACGAAGCAGACGAAGGCCAGTATCGCTAAGCCGGATAATTCTGACTTGTGTTCTCCTAAAACCCAGAAGCACTGAAACGGATTCAAGGGATAATACAAATATAAATTAGGGAAAATAAAAGTTTGTTTGTTTGTAATGTTTGTAACTAAGTGAATTGTACAAGTCTTAAAAAGATTTTGTTGGAGACCGATTTGGTTAATGTATAATTAGGAGCTTACCACAATTATAAGTATAAAAATGGCACCAAGTATAATCAATCGCAAAAATAGCACCAAAAATTTGAGAGCCCATTGCGTTCCAAACGAATAACCATAATACCACTGATGGACCATGACACCATCCTGAACCTGGGACGCCACGTTCTAAGGGAGATTAGTTTCATTATTAACAGGTGTCAGAGTTTATTTTCAAGAATTGCAATTGATGAAAGTCAGGATAAAAGATGGAAATAAGCTCAAGTGGACAAAATAGGGGAAAATATGTTAATGATCGGAAAATATATAATTCTTTCTAAATAGTTTGTTGATACGAGCCCCGACCACTATTAATTCGTACGGCAGCTTTTTTACTCGTATAAAATATTCAGCAAACGATATTGTCCATAATAACGTATACCACATATAAAAATGATTTTTTATAGTACTATAACTTTATTCTCTTAAGTTTAAAACAAAAAAATTTATTGTACTTCGACAACAACAACAATAGTGTTTATTTATTTTAATGTGTCATTAAACTGATGATATAAATACGACCACTATTAATTCGTACGGTGCGTTTAATATTAACTTTTTATACGAAATACTAGGTTGTTTTTTAATATTAATATTGGGTAACATCACCCTTGACCTTAACGACACATTTACAACGATTTGGCATTGATTTTAATAAATTTTGGCATTGCTCTCTTGAAATAGAGTCCCAAACCTCTTGGATTTTAAGTTTTAATTCAGACAGGGTTCTTTGAGGTTCATTTTTTAGTTTTCTTTTCATTATTCCCCATATATTCTCGATAGGACTTAGGTCCGGACTATTTGATGGCCAATCTAAGACCTCAATGTTCATATTCTGCAGCCATGATTTGGTTCGTTTGGCAGTATGAGATGATGCTCCATCCTGCTGAAAGGTGTATTCGCCACAGTCAGCCAGCTTTGGTATTGATGGCAGAAAGCTTTCTTCTAAGATGTTAACATATTTTTCTGCGTTGACCATCCCATCAATAAAGTGCAGCTGCCCCACTCCTTTGGCAGACATACAACCCCACACCATAATGCTGGCTGGGTACTTAACTGTTCTTTTAAGGCAGTCTTTATGGTAGGCTTTAGTACAGATGACTCTCCTTCGCGCATCGCCGACACTTACATCAAATTTAGCTTCATCGCTAAATATGATAGTGTTCCATTGCCTTTGAGTCCAGGACATCCTTTCCCGTGACCATTGTAAACGCTTCTTCTTTTGACGAAGCGTAAGCAATGGTTTTTCCTTGGCCTAAGAGTAAGTTAATCTATTAAGTATGTAACATAGTCTATCACAGTGCATACCTTATAGAACTTATATCCGATCTCACGCAACTTCAAGCGCGTACACTCTCGCTTAACACCTTTTCCGATTTTATCAGACCACTCAGATGCTATATTTCGACAATTTTGACGACGATCAGCCTTTACAATAGCCGCCAGGGCTCTTTTGTCACGTGCTGTTATTGCCGATTTTCGGCCTCTTTTTGCGATATTATTTTCAATATTGCCATATTCCTTAAATTTTTTAATTATTCCCTGAACGGACGACTTAGCCAGATTAAATTGCTTGGCAATTTCACCGAAACTTTTCCCATTTTTATAATTATTCAGAACTAAAATTCTTATTTCCTTGCAAATTGGCTTTCCTCGTGCCATTGTAGCTTAACTATGAGTAATTTTCAGCAATCGCACTTTATTTTGCATTCTGCTTTGTTAAACAGTTTACAGCAAAAGACTAGATAGTGATTATGTTTCACTGTTTCCTTTTGTTTGGATCTTCTTTTAATTCTAAGCTAAGCTTTTGGCACCGTACGAATTAATAGTGGTCGAATTTATATTATCATTTTAATAACACATTAAAATAAATAAATATTATTGTTGTTGTTGTCGAAATACAATAAATTTTTTTGTTTTAAACTTAAGAGAATAAAGTTATAGTACTATAAAAAATCATTTTTATATGTGGTGTACGTTATTATGGACAATATCGTTTGCTGAACATTTTATACGAGTAAAAAAGCTGCCGTACGAATTAATAGTGGTCGGGGCTCGTAGAATATAATATATATATAAATATTTAAAAACTCACTCGGATAATGTTCAGGAAGGGGAGCAGGTAAATAAAATAATACAGGAACGTGGGCAGCCGGGCCAGACTCACTGCGGCGCAGGGCTCATCGGCAGACTTTAGCCGGACGTTGTACATCGTGACACTCGGTTCCGGAAAGTCGCTTTGAAATTGCTCGCGCAATAGATGGTACCACTCTATGAAGACCTGGTGCTGCAGCTGCAGGAATCCCTCCCGTATGTATATATCCTGCTTAAGGTTTTTGTCGACCTGCTCCCGGTCGGCATCTATTTGTCCCGAGCAGCGAGTTAGCCAGAGGCGGTCCTCGGTGAGGAAAGATTTCAACGTACGAAACTCGCTGGGAAAACGGATCGAGACATCCAGGACCAAAGGCGGCTGAGGTCCGCTGAGGTCCCCTTTGAAGACGAGCCCCGCCAAGGTGGTCCGCTCGTCTAGCTGATTCTCTAACTCGTTCTCGTTCTCGAAGGGTATCGTTGCATTCAGCTCCAGTGTCGTTACCACCTTTGCAGCCAGGTTAGAAACAAATGGCGTCTTGGGTGTGTAGCCCAGGTTCAATCTGTTTTTCTCCCGCCTTGAGTCAATCACTCCCCTTAGGTACCGTACAGAATGTGAAGGTCAACAAAGATCGCTTATGTTGCAGGTGCTGCTTACTGTAATATGCGGAGGTCCCCCAGTGTATGCGAATCGATGCTCTGGCCCTTCTCGTTATCGCTGCGCTTGTACAGGAGGCGCTTGGAGTGGGCGATGGGGTTGAGCAGGATCACCAGGAGCATGATTATCAAGGCGATTGCCTCGAAGAGCGTGTGCCGCCACATATTCAGCTCGATGCGGATGTAGCGCTTAAAAAGCAGACCCTTGGTGGCCGGCATTTTCAGGTGGGATGTATGTGAGGTAACTTGAATGTATTATGTAGATATTCAAAATAAAAATGTTAAGTAAAAGAGAGCAAGACTGGTTTTTGGACCCAGGATTTGGGAATGTGTCTAGATATTGTTTTGACTTAAATTCAAAGCACCTTGTGATAGTTTTCCCCAGAGCTTGCAAATAACTGTTGACGGGGTTTTTCCTGTGCTCTCGTTGCGAGTAAAACCGAAAAAGATCATACTCTCTCGCTCTCGTTCAGAGCAAGGGAGTTTTGCTGTCTTCATTTCGGTTTTTTGTTGAACGCTTTTCGTTGAGCTCTTTTTGCTTCGGCCTTTCAATGAGCCGTGCGTAAAGAGCGGGACGAGAAACGTTCGCACACAGAGAGCCAGCAAAAGACCAAGGGACCGAACAGCTCAGCGCGAACGGTCTTCACCTTTGTTTGTTTTTTTTTTTTTATTTATTTATTTTTGTGAACAAGTGTCCATATAACAAAATGCTATTAAAAAGAATAGAAAAGTTTTAGACAATTTTGTTTTTAAATCGCAACTAAACGTTTAAGGATTTGCTTGCCTATGCGTGTGAATGTATTCCAATACATACGCAAAAGACTTTTGTTCACTGACCACGGTTCATGGGACAACCAAAACAAAACAGAATAGAAAAAAACGAGTTCGCTCTGAACGCGCGCGAGCTGATTCCAAGAACTCATGAACGGGTGCTCTCTGAGTCTTTTCGTAAAGAGTGAGAGAGAGACAGATATATGCAGACAACTAGAAACGGTCGACAGTTTTTTGCAAGCTCTGGTTTTCCCTGTTATAACTCTGATGATGTAGCTCATAAAAACCATTTATATTCAATTGCATTCGTTAAAAAATCAGGACAAATAACACAAAATACAGAACCAGAAACCGGATATACTTTCCCGATACTTTTTTGGGTACTTTTAAAGCTAAAATCGCGCCTTTGATTTTAATAAAATCAAGTCCAGTAGAACTTTGCAAGTTCTCAAAAGTTATATATTTAAAATAACATATTTTCCACTTTTGCAATTTTTAATTCAAATCAAATATATCGATAGTTCGATTGAGCCACATTCGATTACTAACAGCCGCTTATCGATAATTATACGAATCGAATGAGCGCAGCAAACAAATTAAAAACAAGAAAAATTATATTTTCCTGGCAAACCACTAAAATCTTCAATGCGGCAGGACTTTGGACAGGATCAGTGGTCAATCGAGGACGACTCACTGTTCCAGGCTTGCGGTCTGATTGTGGCCGCGCCGCACGCCGAGAAGTCCATATTCATCACCTGGAATCAGTACTATTTGCTTAACTTCCGTTTCAAGAAGCCGAAAGCAGACAGCAGCCGCGTCAAAATGACAAAGGTGCGGATACCACTGCCCACGAGCGCGAGTGGCAGTTACCTGAGGAGCGTGCACCCGCTGAAGTTCAACACGATGCTGCTGATGTCCGACGGCGGAATCTACTGCTTCGGTTCCTTCAAGGCTCTGCATGCCATACAGTGGCTAAGTGGCGTTCGCTGCTTTGCCATAGTCGGAAATGGATTCAGCGTGATACGGGAGGAGGAGCAGCGCCTGCTGCTGCAGACCTACCTCGATCTGCCCGGCTTGGAGAAGGGCGAGAGCACGCTGCAGCACACGTTCGACATAACGTACGACGAGCAGAACATATTCCAATGCGACTGGCAGCATGACGAGTACACGCTGACCACTCTAAGGGTATCCTGCGAGACGGAGCAGCAGTTCACGCAGCGCCTGTTCGGGGTTACAGCTGCCCAGCAGGAGTACGTCCACATCTTCAGCATTGGCGGGCATGTGTTTGCCCTGTGCCAAAACGAGCCTCGTAACGAAGGCGGGGAAAGTCCGTACCAGATCGAGCTGCTGTGCGTTTACGCTGCAATAGTGAAGTTCATCCGCATCCTGCCCGATCAGAACTTCTGCTTGGTGTTCCTCAGCAATGGAAGCGTGGACATGTGGTACGTTTCCTGTTTGCTCGACATCAAGCAGCGCCAGATGCATCACACGGGCGCCGAGTGGCTGGACTACGATGCGACCAGTGAGAACGGCGATTTCTACTACACCGACGGCATGCAGGTGGTGCGACTGAGATTCAAGTACAACAGCCAGCTGGACGAGTGCTATGTCCACACCCTGGTCAAGCCAGTTCCCGGCATACAGTGCTGCACTTTTCTGCACCTCAGCGAGCAATTGGTTTGCCTCAGCGACAACAACATATTCTATCGCATCGCCTTTGCGGCAACCGATCATAACACTGACTCCCCAATGGGCGACTTTACAGCCGATGCCATAGAACGGATGCGGCACAATGCTCAAGCCTTGGAAGCGTATCAACGGCAGCCGGCTGTCCTCCAGGAGGCCCTGCAGAAGGAGTACGAGAAACAGCAACTGATTGCTGTGGGCAGGAATCGCTTCGACGAAAGCCTCCAGGCATCCCTCGAATTCCATCGTCGAATTCCCTGTCTCGACGACGACACTGTCCTGCTCCTGCAACCTCAACCTCAAGAGCCGCCTAGTAAAGCAGGTGGTCTGTATGCCGTGCTAAACCTCACTGTCATCAACAGCCAGCCCCTACTGCACAGCAATACCTGGCAGCTTTTGATATGCTTTGACCACAACATACATGGCTTTGTGTTGCCCACGGATGTACTCTTAAACAGGAGATGCCGCATTATAGTGCCGTTAAGAAAGATGAAGGACGACTTTCTGCCTAGGTTTAGCATCAAATTGGTGGCCTTTATTGAGATAAGCAGCCTCATAAGTGCGGTCCTTCTTCCCGTGACGGTGACCAAGAGTGCAAGCACTTACCGTTCTGTTTTCAGTGCCACTCGAAAAGAGGACATTTGCTCGAATGACCAGCAAAAAGCAACGAGCAAGGCACCACCAAGTGAGCCCGTAATTCAGCATACAATTCGTCTCGGCAATAGCTTGACTCTACCTCAAATTGCTTGTCTTTTTAATGGCTCTAAAGCCTCTAGTGACAGTTCATTAGAATTGTACTTTCTGGACGACGCCAAGCTGCGACTCCAAAGGATTTCAAATGATTCCAATGGAACGTTGGAGAGCGAAGACGCTTCAGCGATTTACTATTTTAAGCAGCATTTACTTCTGAACGGAGACACCCGCGACCCAGAACCCATAACCTTGGATCAAATATTGAAATTCCAATGTGAAACAAAGCGATTGAGCACTAGTAAGCAAAATGAAAATTTCTTAGAGTCTGGAGAAAATGTTGCTATGCGTTTGGAGTCAAAATATAGAGCCTTAAGAAGTGTTATTTTTTAACAGATTGCAGAAGTAGTAGAAGTATATATTTATTCAGAATAGGCATGGTATATAACATCGGTATGTTTCACACTTTTTTTGTTTTGTTTTACAAAACATAATTACATACAGACTATAATAAGACAAAAGTTCAAAGTTACAAAAATAAAAAAATTCTTTATTATGGTTTAATAGGATTAATTTTTTATTAGGAACTCTAAAAGCTATGCGTTTAAATTGTTACATAGAAAAATAAATTGTAAATACGATTTAATTTGTATTTGAAAACATTATAGGTAATGTTTATATTAACGGATTTTTTATACACAGAAATAAAGTATTTAGCTAAGGTTATTATATGTATAATATATAATTAATTTTATAATTATAGATATTTAATAAGCCTTTATAAATCTGAATAATAAAGAAGACATTTGGATAACCTTGATTTTAACTAATTGTTTCTGCTCTTAGTTGGATTTCCTTGTAGGGACTTATCAAATAATAAAGATGTTTGCATGTTTTCTTATCATAAACGACTTCGATTGAACCCGCTAAGTATTTGATGGAAAACAATATTGATATATAGATTAATCAACAGCCAATGTATTTTAGTAAACAGAAAGAAAATAATACCTTTTGCACATTTTGACAAAAAAAGTATACACGTTACACATACATTTAATGAATATTTAAAATTATACATTATTAAAAAAATGTTTATAAAAATTCTTCTAAGTTTGTTAATGTGATTTATTATTTTATTTATTTATGTTAAGTATTAAGTCACATATTTTGTGAAAAGAAAATAAAGATTTCTAAGAGAAAAACATATTTGCATGGTCTAAAAAATCAAGAGAGAAACGCACACACAAAAGCAACTAAGAGTATTTTGTAATATTCATGGTCTTATCTTCACTTTGTTATTAAACTTTGTCAGCATGACTGGCACTTTCCTAATAATACCCTGAAATAAAGTATTTTATAAGGAAGTGTGGCAAACAAAATTGATAAAATTTGAGTAAAAGTAGGTGGGTTTATAAGGTGTTACACTTGTTGGGAAAGAGTTCTATTTTTAATGATATATGCATGTCTGTCCTTTCTTGTAGTAGTTATTGACTTAAGATCTGGTATTAATACATCACAAAGAAAGCTCCAAGACTGGACCATTATCCCTTGTTATCAACCTTATGAGTATAGCCGAAAACATGTAGTTTCCGTAAAATATACAATATTATACCGCAAAGGTCAATACAAAATATACATTAATCGCAAGCAATTCCTCTCTTAAACATTCTCTTTCGCTGACCCGCAACAGACCCAATAAACAAGCTGCTTTTTCACCCACAGCAATCAGTTGCGACCGAGACCCCCCGGCGACAAGATGGTCAAGTTGACTCTGTACGGCTTGGATCCCAGTCCGCCAGTTCGCGCCGTCAGACTAACCTTGGCCGCTCTCAACCTGCCCTACGAATATGTGAACATAAACATAGTGGGTAGGGAGCAACTGTCTGCAGCTTACCTGGAGAAGAATCCCCAGCATACGGTGCCCACGTTGGAGGAAGATGGCCACTTCATATGGGACTCGCATGCCATTATCGCGTATCTGGTGTCCAAGTATGCGCCATCGGATGACCTATACCCGAAAGATCTCCTCCAGCGCGCGATAGTGGATCAGCGGCTGCACTTTGATACGGGCGTGGTCTTCGCCAATGGCATTCGAAGCATTTCCAAGCCCGTGATCTTCTTCGGTCAGACCACAGTGCCTAGGGAGCGCTATGATGCTATTATCGAGATCTATGACTTCGTAGAGACATTCCTAGGGGGGCACGATTATATTGCCGGCGATCACCTGACAATCGCCGACTTTAGTCTGGTCTCTTCGGTGTCTTCCCTCGTTGCCTTCGTGGACATGGATCCGGTGAAGTATAGCAGGATTAGTGCTTGGATCAAGAGACTGGAACAGCTGCCCTACTACGAGGAGGCCAATGCCAAGGGAGCTCGGCAACTGGTGGCCATTGTGAAGAAAACAAATTTCACCTTTGAAAGCTAATAAACTACTATTGATATCTTTTGAATTAAAAATTAAAAATGTATAAAAACAAAGCAATTTCTTATGATTTTATAAGGGAAATATATTTTTGAAATAAATTGATTGCTTTGATGCAGATATTGGCAGGCTAATTTCTTCCAGAAAACAACTGAGATATGATATGAAAAATGTATTTTTTTTTACTTTTAACTACTTTTAATGGCATTTTTATATTTATTTATTTCGCATGAAAAAAAATGATAGGCTGGCACTTTTTCTACCAAATCTCTTTATTGCAATCTAATAAGAATAGAAAAATTAAAAAAAAAAGAATCGATTAACTGTTAATTTTAATTTTGCTTCTAATCTATTTTAAATTGTAGGTTCGCGACCCAAAACATGTTTTTGTAATTGCTTCGCATAAAGTGCAAGTAGGTGAATAAAACCTCTTGTGTTAAGTCATTTTGGTAGTACTATTTGGAATACACAAACACTTTTAAATTACTACTAACCAATAATTTTATATTGATTTTCAAAATAGCGTAAGTTCGCGACCGTGAGTATTTTTTGTATTTTTTACTTTTTTTTGTTTAACAAGCATATATGTAAATATTCTTAGATGGCTAAAACTAAAGACAAAAGTGAAAATGTTAAATTAAAAACAATTTTGGACGCTTTATTTTTTATTAAAGGAAATACAAAGTTATTCATAAAAAAGTATTATTAAAAAAAATTAAACTAATAAAGCATCATTATTTTACACAACTAAACTGTTAAAAAAAACCTTCGAGAGGTCTAGTCATTTATTTAAACTTAATTCCAAGCGTTAAAACAGATACATCTACATATCTATGTAGGTATGTACATAAGCTTTGTAAAAAAATCAACATTGTCTATATTTCTTATCAAAATTCGCTTTCTGAACAAAACTGAAAGTTGTTGTTTCTAAAATTAAAAATATTGTTTTGTGCATATTTAGGAAATAAAAAAGTTAAGAATATTCTAGACGTTGCAGAATATATTTTTCTGAGTGCACAAGTGGCGTTATTATGGTGAAATAGAAATAAACCTAAAGAGAGAGAACAAAAAGGTATTACTACTATCTATCTTGTGCTCTTTTTATACCCTTGCAGGGTATTATAATTTCAGTCAGAAGTTTGCAACGCAGTGAAGGAGACGTTTCCGACCCTATAAAGTATATATATTCTTGATCAGCATCAACAGCCGAGTCGATCTAGCCATGTCCGTCTGTCCGTCTGTCCGTCTGTCCGTCCGTCTGTCCGTCTGTCCGTCTGTCCGTCTGTCCGTTTCTACGCAAACTAGTCCCTCAGTTTTAAAGCTATCTCAATGAAACTTTGCATATAGTCTTCTATATGCTCTCACTGCTATATATGTCGGAACGGGCCGGATCGGACGACTATATCATATAGCTGCCATACAAATGTTCGATATATTTTTAGAAAAAAAATTATAACTTTGCTGTTTTTCAACATTTTTGCACCATTTTTTAGATATGACCATTTTATATTATTTCTGAATTTTGGTATAAATTTTATGAAAATCGGACGACTATATCATATAGCTGCCATAGGAACGATCGAGAAATTAATAGAAAAAAAATTATAGATTCGTTGTTTTTCAACGTATTTTCATCTACTCCGGGATATAAGCTTATTTTATTATTCTAGAATTTTGGTATAAATTTGAAAAACATCGGACAACTATATCATATAGCTGCCATAGGAGCGATCGGTAGATGTAGGGAAAATGTAAAGCTGGAAATGCAAAACTGTAACTGTCAAACTGTAAACATAATAAGTATAGGTAAAATGTAATGAAATAATATCTGCAAGGGTATACAAACTTCGGCGTGCCGAAGTTAGCTTCCTTTCTTGTTTTTTTTTAAATGTTTGTACTTTCATGCTCTCTCTTTCGAAGCAAATAAATACAATGGGCACTTTGATCTCAGCATTCAGTTATAGAAAAACCCCGAGAAGCGACACAACATGACCAAGTTGATTCTCTATGGCTTGGAGGCGAGTCCACCGGTGAGGACAGCAAAACTGACGCTTGCCGCTTTGGGAGTTCCATACGAGTTCGTCGAGGTGAATACTTTGGCCAAGGAGAACCTTTCAGAGGCTTTCCTGAAGAAGAACCCGCAGCATACGGTGCCCACGCTGGAGGATGATGGTCACTTCATTTGGGACTCGCATGCGATCAGCGCCTATCTGGTGTCAAAATACGGCAAGAACGACAACCTCTACCCCAAGGATCTCCTGCAGCGGGCTGTGGTGGATCAGCGATTGCACTTCGAGTCGGGCGTAGTCTTTGCCAACGGTCTAAGAAGCATTACCAAGCCCCTGTTCGCCTCTGGCCTCACCACGATTCCCCGAGAGCGTTACGATGCCATCATCGAGATATACGACTTTCTGGAGACCTTTTTAAAGGGTCAGGATTACATTGCCGGCAGTCAGCTTACCATTGCCGATTTTAGCATCATTTCAACCCTATCCTCGCTGGAAGCCTTCGTGGACATAGATCCGGCCAAGTACACCAGGGTTACTGCTTGGGTTAAGCGACTGGAACAGCTGCCCTACTATGAGGAGGCCAATGCCAAGGGAGCCCGAACATTTACCGAAATCATTAAGAAGACTAATTTTAAGTTTGCATCTTAAGTACGAATCCTGATTTTACTCTGGTTCAATTTTACAATAAATCCTATAACAAATATTCCTTACAACGATTAGTATTTCATTAAAACAATATTTAATATATTTTGTAATCTATTTTACTTACATCGGACTAATAGATTCTCCGGTATCGAAAGGGAGTGCTATGATTTGGGTGGAGTTTATAAATTTATTTAGTATGTGATAATCGTGGATGCCATGCTAATATCCCTGTATATTCTTCATCTATATATAAAATCTTTATTTAACTTGTTTTCTTATTTCCTATCCTCAAATTACGGTTACAGTTACGGATTTAACTTTAAAATCTGGAGCAATACCAGAAATTTAATTCTTTTGCATAAGGTAATAAATACAAGAGAGCCCAGTTATCTATTTGAAAAGCTAAAATTTGGAACATCAGCAAGAACCAATAATCTCATTAATTTTCGTCATAATCTTTCGTCTTCTGAACGCCACTTTTTTATTCACACTATTCGCTTGTGGAATGAACTTCCTCAAAATTTAAAAACAATAAGAAGCACGCCGCAATTTAAGAATAATTTACTAAAGTTTTATAGAAATGAAAACTAGACATAATAAAATAAATGTTCAATTATAACATAAGGACATTCAAATTGTTAGAATAAGATATACATGTATTTCAATCTTGTGTAGTTTTAAGACAGATAAGAAATTTTTAAAAAATTGACCCGTTGTGACTATCGCACTAATTTATAAGTTTTAAACTTGTAGCGTTAGGAATTTATTTACCAATAAATTAAATTAAATACACAGGACACTATCTTTCAAGTTTTCTTTTCTCTTTTCCAAACATGCAATCATTAGTCTTGTTATTTCTCTCTTTTTGCGGCCTTATCTGAAGTACACATTCATTAGGCACTGTGGTTCAAGACCGTAGAAATTATCAATAACAAGAAAGGAAGCTAACTTTGGCACGCCGAAGTTTGTATACCCTTGCAGATTGGGTTTGATGTTTATATTATAGATTTAAATGCTGAAAACACACACAAAACAGAGTTTCATTACATTTTTTCCTATACTTATTATGTTTACAGTTTGACAGTTACAGTTTTACATTCCCAGATTTAAATTTTCTTTACATCTATCGATCGTTTCTATGGCAGCTATATGATTTGTCTGATTTTCATCAAATTTATACAAAAATTCTGAAATAATAAAATAAGCTCATATCTCAGAGTAGATAAAAAAACGTTGAAAAACAACGAAGCAATAATTTTTTTCTATTAATTCCGCGATCGTTTCTATGTCAGCTACAAGATATAGTCGTCTGACTTTCATAAACTTAAAACCGAAATTCTGAAATATTAAAAATATATATCTCAAAAATTATGCAAAAATGTTGAAAAACAGCCAAGTTAAAATTTTATTTCTAAACATTTTACGAACATTTGTATGGCAGATATATGATATAGTCGTCCGATCCGGCCCGTTCCGACAAATATACATAGCAGTGAGAGTATATAGAAGACTATATGGAAAGTTTCATTCATATAGCTTTAAAACTGAGGGACTAGTTTGCGTTGAAACGGACAGACGGACATGGCCTCATCGTCTCGGCTGTTGATGCTGATTAAGAATATATATACTTTAAAGGGTCGAAAACGTCTCATTCACTGCTTTGCAAACTTCTGACTGAAATTATAATACCCTGCAAGGGTATATGTATGAAAATATGTATTATTCTTTAGATTTAGATGATTTAGAAATATTGTATGTATTTCAGATTTTATAAACATTTTGATGAGTAGGAAACTTTTCCCATTAATAACACAGATCGACAACATTCGAACTTTTTTTGGTCTATAGATTACTAAAAAATTAAAAGCTTCCAATCACATACCCATTTTGAGAAAATCGCAATCAAAGCATGAAAAACGGCTTGTTTTGGACCTTTTCAAAACGTTATAGCATTTCATATATTGCATTTATGCTTTTTATATATTTATGTATATGTATGCACATTTCTATCGTAACTATCTCTTTGTAAATATAAAAATTATTTAATTGGCTTATCAAGATTACGAATTTTCTACTTCCATGCGATTGAGAATAAAATAAAAAGAGATATGATAAGGCGCGCACTGCCTTATGGAACACCTGACCACCTACCTCTTCGGGGGACACCTTCAAACAATTTTGATTAAAACGAATGCCTTATCACAGCTCGCATCAATTATCTAAGCAGAGAAGTCTGACAGCAGATATAGCTTTAGATATGTATTAAAATATATATGGAAATAGTCATGTCAATCACGTAGAAACTTAATTACCGAAAGCATGGAAAGCTTTGAATCACAAAGTGGAATTTGTTTAATATATGGAATTAATTGAAGCCAGCAGTAAACTTGTTGCTGCGGAAGCTGGCGAACCTGCGTTCAGTTGCGAATCGTCGAGCGCAGAGATCAGACGACAATGGGAAAACTAGTGCTGTACGGCGTAGAGGCGAGTCCACCGGTGCGAGCCTGCAAGCTGACCTTGGACGCCCTGGGACTCCAGTATGAGTACAAGCTGGTCAACCTGCTGGGCGGGGAGCACAGGAGCAAGGAGTATACGCTTAAGAATCCACAGCACACGGTACCCATGCTGGAGGACGACGACGGCAAGTGCATCTGGGAGAGCCATGCCATTTGCGCCTATCTGGTGCGGCGGTATGCCAAGGACGACACCCTGTATCCGAAGGACTATTTCAAGCGCGCTCTGGTGGATCAGCGTCTGCACTTCGAGTCCGGTGTGCTCTTCCAAGGCTGCATTCGGAACATTGCCGCACCGTTGTTTTACAAGAACGAGACGGAGGTGCCGCGTCACAAAATCGATGCCATCTACGAGGCCTACGACTTCCTGGAGGTGTTCATTGGCAGCCAGGCGTATTTGTGCGGGACGGGCATAACCATCGCCGACTTCAGTATGGTCTCCTCGGTTACCAGCCTGGTCGGCTTGGCGCCCATCGATCCGAAGCGCTATCCCAAGCTCACCGGCTGGCTGGACAGGATGGCCAAGCTGCCAAATTATCAGTCGCTCAACGGAAACGGTGCCCAGATGCTGATTGACATGTTCAGTTCAAAGATCACCAAGATTGTGTGACTTTGCTCCGTGTTGTTTAAAGGTTAGAAACGAGATAGGCGGCTGCTGCTGCAGGTGCCGTTGCTGATGATTACATAAAAATAAAGCTTTTATTTGACATACACTTTACAAAAAATGCTTTCAAAATGCTGACTTCAAGTGCTGGGGTTCCCGGTTTTAACGCACAATATATCACATATTAAAGATTAAAACTTGGTGTAAGAATATAGTTAATGCAAACCATCTAGGCACTTATTCGAAGGGTTTGTTGGATTAATAAACAAAGTATATTGCACGCATATCATCGCCCGATGGCCTGACCTCTCTCTCCTCTCTGCTCCGCCCGATGCCCGTTGCTTACTGCACTCTTTCGGTTAGGGTAACACAATCTTTCTCCACTCTCCGGCAGGTGTTCGGCATCGAGATGACAGGCTGCTCCGAATGCATAGTGTTCACTGATAGTCGGGGTCGTTTAATGTATCCCACCGACTCTGGCTAGCTGTTCGTCTTGCGCTTCTCCAGTGCCTTCCAAACCAGTTTCATTCTCTGCACGCAATCGCGATGCTGGGACTCCCACAGCACTGTGGTGAGTCGTCCAACAGTGGCCGCACCGTTCTCCGCGCTGCGCGTCCACTGCAGCAGTAGCTGGTAGATCACCTGGGAGAGCATGAGGCGTGTTAATTAATCGAGATTAGTCATGCTATCATGTCATAGCCGAGTGTATAAGGGGGGCGTAAGGATATATTTTAAATTGGAAGTGTTTACAACTAACAATATACATACAATTTACAAAAATGAATTTAAATTAAGGTAAAATTGCACACCCCTTATGTAATCTAATCTGTAATCTGTAATCTGTAATTCTAAATCCAAAAGACCCATTTGATGAATAGGTTCCATCTGTAGGCGTTCTTCAAGTAAATTATTTTGTGAATATAGTCCGTACGTTGATAAAGGTTAAACTCTAATGTTTTTACTTGCATAAATCACACTTTAAAGAGCTTTTTAAATACTATATTGAAATATATACATTGTTTCTCAATATTGTGAGCACATTGTAAAATTTCAAACAAGGGAAAGTGATAGAGATATCAAAACTTGAGTCATGAATGCTGGTTTTTCCGAGCTATGCCCCAGAAATCTGTACATATATTCATAATACTATAAATAGTCAATTTTTTAAGGAGATGCAAAAATCGTAGATATTGTAGAAAATATATTGAATGGGGTTTAAAATTTCCCTTGATAAAAGGTCTCTAACGTAGACTTCAAATACACATTTCCATTTACTTACCTCTCTGATATTTCCATGCATTTGATGATCGATTATCGCCTGATCGATCTGTCCCTCCGACTGTCCAAGATCCCGCATCACCTGCTTCCATCCCTCGCCCAAGTGCGTGGCCACGGCGTCCAGCAGACGGATATCCGGCTCTTCCTGCGACTGCATCATGGCCACTATGCTGACTGTTTTCCGAGTGGCCATGGAGCGCTTGCCGCCCTCCGGTAAAGTCATCGCTGCTCCTTCCTCGTTGGCACTTGTGCTGCCCTTGCGCGAACTGCTGGCGCTCAGGTTCTGATTTATGTTGTAGACAGAGCCAAAGTGCAGACCGCTGGCATTCGAGAAGTTCATGACCACCTGTTGCTGGGCGCTATGCACGTTCATCGTGTTGTTCGTTTGCGAATTGTTGGTCAGCGCAGTTCCTGGAAAATTGGCGGACTGCACCACGTCCATGGAGTTGTAGTTGGGGTCGCTGAGCTCGCGCAGCACGGACTCGGTGAGATCGGCGGATGCAGTAGGTGTGCTGATAGAGGGCAGCGCCAGGGCTCCGCTGTTATTGTTATCTTCCGCGCTGTCGTCCACGGGCGCTGCGTCCGTTTCAAGACGTCCTTCAGATTGATTCGGCGCCTCCTTGCCGCCGAAGATCGTGGGCAACAGGTTCCTGAGCTTCGGCATGATGTTCGCTGATAATTTGCCGCGATGAATGTGCCCTCTCGTCTCCGGAAATTCCACAGTTTGGGGTTTTTGTCTTTGTGTTTCTTTGTGATTTAGTGGTGGCAGGCCAAGGACGGTAATGCCTATCGATGGGGAAGGGGACTAATCGATAGCTTCTATAAATCGAATACAAACCGAGTATTCATGGAATTTAAGCGTTTTCTCACACTTGGACATTTTCAAAAAACCAAATATGCAGATGACTTCAGAACAAAAAAAATCTTCCAGATTCAAAATATAAATATAAAAAAATCAAATTCCTCAAATAAATAAATCAGATCATTGAATAGGGATCTCAAAGATATTAAACATTTACGGACTCAGTGACAGTTCAGCCTAAAGCCTAGTACTCTGACGAGAAAAAACCGCTGTATAAATTTAGACAGCGGCCAAACTCCATATAAAAAAAACGGTGTCGAAAAAAAAAGAAGAAGAACTTTTAGACACGTCGTTTTTTTCGGTACTCTGACGACGAAAATGAAGCCTGCGAAAATTGAATGGCGTTGCCAGATCAAGATAGTAAACAGCTGATATCGCGCTGTCTAAATAATTCATTTGATTTATTTAGACACCCCTAATGGAGGGAAAGTTGAAGGAAAAAGGTGGCATTGATAGGGGCTGTCAAGGGGAAGCCCATAATATGGAATTTAACCCACAAAATACATTTTAATGCAATATTTATTAATATTTTAAATATATTTTTTTGAATATTTGTTTACAAACAGCTGTCCTGTGTGACCAAAGAAAATCCTTAAACGCCATAAAAAGTACATTTTCATGGCATTTCAGATGTCCGTCAAATTAGCGTCGGTGAGTTAGCGTCGAAATGGAACGGTGGGAAAATGGAACACTGAGGGATTTTTTATATTTTATTTATTTCGTTAATAAGGCACCAATTTGAACAAAATAAAGTTTATAAATGCTTAAAAATTAATTTACTATTGATTTTTACTGGGTTTGAGGGGATTTGACCTTTGGGTCTATTAAAAAAAAGCATTTGAAAAATCGTGCTTTCGCAATTTTGATTATATCTCGGCTCACAGAGGATATGCAGCTATACCCGATATGCCAGGATAAAGGATATTTATTGTAGTTTTACTCTGCAAAGTTTCATTTTCTTTTGACCGTCAGTTTTTGAGAAAATCGCATAACAGTTAACCAACCTCGGGTCGGCTCCATACAAAATATGGCAGAACATTTTTAAAGTCTTATAACTCCAGTTTAAGAGGATATGCCAACATGTACGGTATATGGGCTTGTTAGGAGAAGTTTAAAGAATATTTGGTGAAAATTTCAATGGATTTTAACCGGCAGATTTCGAGAAAATCGAATTGCAGTGGGTGGTGTAGTTGGGCTGATAACAGAGGCGCGAAGTATGAAAATGGAACCAGCTGTGAACTGGATACTGTGAGCAGAGAACTAGTTGCTGATCCAAGAAACGGAACCATGTTAAAAAAATACTAGATTTAAAAACGTTAGCCATTTAAGCAATTTAAAATTAAATTAAATAACTGCCTATTAAGGGGTTATCCGGGTTTTGAAATTTCAAAAAGTGCATTTTTTTCAAACTTTTTTATATAATAGTACAAAGTGTCAGGAATGTTGTCCGAAAATTTCAAGTCGATCGAACCAAAACTGTAGGAATGGGAGAAATTTAAAGCCCAGCGCGTCGTATGAGTCACAACTGGCAATTAAAACTTTAAACGCGTTTTTCTCGAAACCACTTTCTTGAAGTCGGTAGTCAGGATTTCTCGAAAACTACTGGACCGATCGACTTCAGATTTTCCACACTTCTTCTAGACATGTTTTTCTTGTCTCTGAACGAAGGATTTTTTATATCTTCAATTAGAACCGATTTTATAACCCCAAATATGGCCAAAATTGACGTAAAAAGTGTCATTTTTCATGAAAAACGCTCCCAAAAATTCAATTTTTAATTTTTTAAAAAATCCTTCGTTCAGAGACAAGCCAGACATATAAGCTAACAGAAAAATTTTGGTTTTTTGATTTCAAATAAAAATTGACGGAGAAATCCTGCCTACCGCAAGGACATAATTTTTTTAGGGTTAAGTTCAACCCTCCCTCAACGGCTCATTTGTGAATATTTTTTGTTCAAAATTTTACGGAATTTAGTTCAAACCTTATGTATTAATGTAAAATAAATGAAATTTGCAAAATTGTCATAGGATCTTTTAAAAAAATTCTGGAAAATAGGCCTTTTTTTGTGGTTCTAAACCCGGATAACCCCTTAAACGACATCAGCATTTTGAGCAATTTGGTAGCTCTTTCATCAAAATCGGTTGAGTCGATTAAGTGAAAACGGCAATTTTTCATTTATATACCAGCAAAAAAACCCACCGACCGCCAGACGTGTGACGTCACACGGCCGTGTTTCTAACCAATTGAATGCGCCAACCTTGTTTTCGACGCTAACTTTCAATAAATTATTTCTAGCTTAAATGAGGATATGCAGATTTGCACGGTATATCAAAAGAAAGGGAATTCTATTCTTAAATTTCTATAAAAATCTTAGGTCGATCTGACCGACAGATTTTGAGGAGATCCTATTTTCCTTTTCCGACCTTATTATTAACTAACACTGGCTGCATATTGAGCCTAACGCCACGTGCTCCATACGATGTTTTTCGACGCTAACTTTCAACCAAATATTTCTAGCTTAAATGAGGATATGCAGATTTGCACGGTATCTCAAACGAACGGGAAATCATTTCTCTAATTTCTATAAAAATCTTAGGCCTTACTTCGAAAGGCGATGCCGGTTATGAGTTATGCAATTTTGTAGAAGTTTTAAATTGTCAATAGAATTAAGCTGGCGGGGATTCATCGATAGGGCTTGGGAGCCGTTTCTATCGATATCAAACCAGTGTTATTAATGAAGTCGGAAAAGAGAAAAACTTGATTTTCTCAAAATCTGCCGGTTAAAACTCAATAAGATTTAATTCGAAATTAGAGAATAGAATTCCCTTTCATTTGATATACCGTGCATATCTGCATATCCTCATTTAAGCTGGAAATATTTGGTTGAAAGTTAGCGTTGAAAACATCGTATGGAGCACGTGGCGTTAGGCTAAATATGCAGCCAGTGTTAGTTAATAATAAGGTCGGAAAAGGAAAATAGGATCTCCTCAAAATCTGTCGGTCAGATCGACCTAAGATTTTTATAGAAATTTAAGAATAGAATTCCCTTTCTTTTGATATACCGTGAATATCTGCATATCCTCATTTAAGCTAGAAATATTTGGTTGAAAGTTAGCGTCGAAAAACATCGTATGGAGCACGTGGCGTTAGGCTCAATATGCAGCCAGTGTTAGTTAATAATAAGGTCGGAAAAGGAAAATAGGATCTCCTCAAAATCTGTCGGTCAGATCGACCTAAGATTTTTATAGAAATTTAAGAATAGAATTCCCTTTCTTTTGATATACCGTGCAAATCTGCATATCCTCATTTAAGCTAGAAATAATTTATTGAAAGTTAGCGTCGAAAACAAGGTTGGCGCATTCAATTGGTTAGAAACACGGCCGTGTGACGTCACACGTCTGGCGGTCGGTGGGTTTTTTTGCTGGTATATAAATGAAAAATTGCCGTTTTCACTTAATCGACTCAACCGATTTTGATGAAAGAGCTACCAAATTGCTCAAAATGCTGATGTCGTTTAAGGGGTTATCCGGGTTTAGAACCACAAAAAAAGGCCTATTTTCCAGAATTTTTTTAAAAGATCCTATGACAATTTTGCAAATTTCATTTATTTTACATTAATACATAAGGTTTGAACTAAATTCCGTAAAATTTTGAACAAAAAATATTCACAAATGAGCCGTTGAGGGAGGGTTGAACTTAACCCTAAAAAAAATTATGTCCTTGCGGTAGGCAGGATTTCTCCGTCAATTTTTATTTGAAATCAAAAAACCAAAATTTTTCTGTTAGCTTATATGTCTGGCTTGTCTCTGAACGAAGGATTTTTTAAAAAATTAAAAATTGAATTTTTGGGAGCGTTTTTCATGAAAAATGACACTTTTTACGTCAATTTTGGCCATATTTGGGGTTATAAAATCGGTTCTAATTGAAGATATAAAAAATCCTTCGTTCAGAGACAAGAAAAACATGTCTAGAAGAAGTGTGGAAAATCTGAAGTCGATCGGTCCAGTAGTTTTCGAGAAATCCTGACTACCGACTTCAAGAAAGTGGTTTCGAGAAAAACGCGTTTAAAGTTTTAATTGCCAGTTGTGACTCATACGACGCGCTGGGCTTTAAATTTCTCCCATTCCTACAGTTTTGGTTCGATCGACTTGAAATTTTCGGACAACATTCCTGACACTTTGTACTATTATATAAAAAAGTTTGAAAAAAATGCACTTTTTGAAATTTCAAAACCCGGATAACCCCTTAATAGGCAGTTATTTAATTTAATTTTAAATTGCTTAAATGGCTAACGTTTTTAAATCTAGTATTTTTTTAACATGGTTCCGTTTCTTGGATCAGCAACTAGTTCTCTGCTCACAGTATCCAGTTCACAGCTGGTTCCATTTTCATACTTCGCGCCTCTGTTATCAGCCCAACTACACCACCCACTGCAATTCGATTTTCTCGAAATCTGCCGGTTAAAATCCATTGAAATTTTCACCAAATATTCTTTAAACTTCTCCTAACAAGCCCATATACCGTACATGTTGGCATATCCTCTTAAACTGGAGTTATAAGACTTTAAAAATGTTCTGCCATATTTTGTATGGAGCCGACCCGAGGTTGGTTAACTGTTATGCGATTTTCTCAAAAACTGACGGTCAAAAGAAAATGAAACTTTGCAGAGTAAAACTACAATAAATATCCTTTATCCTGGCATATCGGGTATAGCTGCATATCCTCTGTGAGCCGAGATATAATCAAAATTGCGAAAGCACGATTTTTCAAATGCTTTTTTTTAATAGACCCAAAGGTCAAATCCCCTCAAACCCAGTAAAAATCAATAGTAAATTAATTTTTAAGCATTTATAAACTTTATTTTGTTCAAATTGGTGCCTTATTAACGAAATAAATAAAATATAAAAAATCCCTCAGTGTTCCATTTTCCCACCGTTCCATTTCGACGCTAACTCACCGACGCTAATTTGACGGACATCTGAAATGCCATGAAAATGTACTTTTTATGGCGTTTAAGGATTTTCTTTGGTCACACAGGACAGCTGTTTGTAAACAAATATTCAAAAAAATATATTTAAAATATTAATAAATATTGCATTAAAATGTATTTTGTGGGTTAAATTCCATATTATGGGCTTCCCCTTGACAGCCCCTATCAATGCCACCTTTTTCCTTCAACTTTCCCTCCATTAGGGGTGTCTAAATAAATCAAATGAATTATTTAGACAGCGCGATATCAGCTGTTTACTATCTTGATCTGGCAACGCCATTCAATTTTCGCAGGCTTCATTTTCGTCGTCAGAGTACCGAAAAAAACGACGTGTCTAAAAGTTCTTCTTCTTTTTTTTTCGACACCGTTTTTTTTATATGGAGTTTGGCCGCTGTCTAAATTTATACAGCGGTTTTTTCTCGTCAGAGTACTAGGCTTAAATGTTGATTTTTAACAGATTGTTCCTATGGCAGCTATATGATATAGACGTGCTATAGGGCCAATTTTTTGTGCATATACTTAGAACATTTTTCTTGATTTTTGGTATTAATTTCGTAACGATACATCAACTAGAAGTATTTTTGGCCGCGTCTCCATACAAGCCCAACCACTGTGCGATAGTCAGTTTGACAGTTCCCGCAATGGCCTATCGCCCATCTCTATTTGCCACGTTCGCTCATGTTCATTCACATTTTACTTGGAGTCGGTAACGATGAGTTCCGCGTTCGTGCGTGCTGCCTTCCAATAGAAAGTCTGGGTGTGATTTAAACAGATTCAAGTGAGAGTGGCAGCCTGAATTGGCCAGTGATCCTTGCGGCGGCGAGCGGACGGCCGCAGTTGCATAATTTACGGCGAGAGAGTGCACGGATATACAGTTATGAAGGGCCGGATAGAGCAGGCGGTGGCAGAGGCGGCGGCGGGGCGGTGGTTCGGTGGCCGAACAAGAAGAAGCAGCAACGGCTATTGAAAATTCAGGCCGCCCTGAATACAAGAACGTTTTCCTTAAATTCGGGCGCTCGGCGAAAAACAACGTGTTTTCCAATGGTTGATAATACACGGGCGGCGAACTCGCACACAAACACAAAGGCGGCGGCAGCGGCTGCCGACGACGTCCACGCACACACGGTCATAAAATCACATTCATGTGTGTGTACGTGTGCGCATATATAAGCATATTTGTCCGATTGGAAGGCGCGCGTGCTGTTTTTTTTGTCTTTAAACTTTCCGAATTTCTAGGGGAGAGTAGTGAAGAGGTATCGAACCCCGCCCATTGACCGAAAAGAGGATCTCGGCATAACCTTTCACCAGGCTGAAACATACGGCACTGATTTCCGCATTCCATACTAACGTTCTCACACATACATGCACGCACACCCACGCTCTGCTCCACTTTGACAAAAACAATTGTCCAATAAGCAGCGGCCCGCATATGTTGCCGCTGGCGCTGCTGTTGCCCTACAAAAACGCATACATTGCCGCCCGCCACAGACTTTCTATTGGATTGGGGGAATATGTGCAGCATGCCCGACGAATTGTAGTGTAGGGCATTCATCCTGTGGATGCCACGACGATCTGTATCCGCTAATTGCATTAATATTGTACCAATTGTCTTGCAGCCGACACGCCAAGTTATCAAACTGGATTTGGTCAAAGGAGAGTAAACTAGGCCGGATTTTTTGGATTTTACAGTACCGTAAGTTGAACAACCTTTGCTTCTCCAGTGTTAATTTGCATAGTTTACCATTTGCCGAAAAAAAATACAGAAAAACAGAAAATCTGAAATACTCTTCAGAAAGTAACGGTTGCCTGCTTAAAACTGGCTACGTCAGACTTTTTCTTTGGTCGGAAATTAACAAAAACAAGAATCAATCCGATATGTGCATACCATTTGTATTTATGTATTTATTTACTTAGTTTTTGGTTCAAGCTGAACTTTAAGCGCATTGTATTTGTGCTTTGTCTTCATTTGTCGACGTCAGCGTCGCTGCAGGCGTCACATACGTACGTTTGTGCGCTGGTATTTGCTATGTAGGTATGTTGCTTGTTTTGCTTTTTTTTACCTGTGCCTTCTCGAAAGGTGCCAACACTCGCACAGTCTCGCACTGGCGAAGAAAAAGAGCGACACAGAAATGTGCAGGCACACACACAAGCATAGGCGCACTGGCACTCGATCGTTTTGTTGTAGTTGCCGGCTATCATCCGGTTTTATATGGAGCTCTGTGCTCCCCTGCTCCGTTAAGTTACTTCGTCAAGCTCTCGCTCTCGCGCTCTCTCTACCGCTCTAGTCTCTTCTTTTGACACATTTTTCATGCACACGCACACAGAGGCGGCATACAGAGGAGAATTTATGTGGGGCTTTATCGCCCCCAAATAATTTCTACAGAAAGTTGGTCAAAAATAGTATTTTGCTTTTTAACTATTGTTCTAGCTCTGTTAATGGTTGATTTTTATATAAAAACAAGTACTTGAAAACCAATCTTTTATACCATCTTAGTCTTTTCTCACAAGTACACCGTATAATCCATCCATATAACGTACTGAATTAGTAATCAAACGTCTTATAAAAATGGGAATTTTTCTTTTATCTAAACATTTTTGAATAGTTTATATGACCTGCAACAGAGAGAAACTATCTGAATTAATATTTGTAGATAGTAAATGGTAAAGCATACCGATTAGCTTTAAAACTGAGATACAGATAATACATTGCATTTAAACGGACATCCGGACATAGTTGATCAACTGTTGATACCGATCAATAATTTATATACTTTTTAACCCTAGACGGTCATGCTTCGTCGATTCGACGACGCAAAATCACAAAAGTTCGAAAAATGAAAAAAAGGTCGTTTTTTATTCTTAGTTTTTAAGTATATTCTTAATATAAGAATTAATTATTATTTCTAATTTTGAACAGTTAAAATGATGAATTAAACGATGTTAAATTTTTTTTTGCAATATTTGTTTGTTTTTTAACAATTAAATTAAATTAACAATTAAAATAAGTAATTTTAAAATTGGCGTCGTCGATTCGACGAAGCATAACCTTAACGTAGGAAAAATAAGCATGACCGTCTAGGGTTAAGGTCGCATATGTCTCCTTTATGGCGTTGTAAAATGTACGTTTTCAAACCCCGTTTGATTAAAAAATCCTTGCGTACGCCACTGCCCTTGCTCACTTGTACACACACACACACACAGAAAGACTGGCGATAGTGGCAACTACAATATCATTTTTGTTGTTCTTTAGGTGGAGAGAAAAATGTAGGCTACGAAACTCGTTGGGCATTGATTTAGAAAACTGCTTTTTTTGGTCGAACAAGTGCATGGTCTCCCAGAAATCTCTCCCTCGTTATTTCTCTGTTGCTCTCTTTCTCTTCGCAACCTTTCACCCAAACGAAATCCGACTGATAGCAGCTTATTTCTGGACCTGCACTAATTGCCGCTGTGTGTGTGCACCCATATATCTTCTGGGTAGCGATCGGTCGTCGACGACGCTTATCAGCCGGGAGCAACCGATAGCTATCACTCGGCTCCGGAATCTGCCTGCGTGGCCTGGTGCCTTCGCGTCATCGTCCACTTATCACCAGCAAAGAGCAGAGCAGGCGGCGCAAAACCAGGCAGGCACTTCATCTCACCCATCTCGAGCACTACGTGGCCTTAGCTTTGGCTCTGGGAACACTGAATCTATTTCGGTTTATCAGCGTCATTTCGACGCTCCCCTTTTTGGTCACGCACTGTTTAAAGTGGCGGTCAGTCGAATTGACTTTCAAGTTTCATTTCATTTTTATTTTTATTTTTAATAATTCAGAGCATTTAAAAATGTTACCTTAAATTATTCTTGCATTATTCTGAGAAACAGCTTTTAGTTGTCGAATTTCACAAATACGATCCCCATAATAATAAATCATAAATTCAAAGAAGATAAATAATTATAAGGATAGGATAATATACATCAATACAATAATTACCCAAGACATACAGCTCATTTGTATAAGAAAATAACTAACAGTTGATAGTCAGGGTAAGATCTTTGAATAACGCCTTTTTACAATCAAAACTAAGAATTAGGAATGAAAGAGGTGGCCAGCTTTGCGATCCTTAAAAGACAAATCTAATGCTAAATACATATGTATGTATGTATGTATATATTTTGCGTATGCCGGCACTTCTTGAGTATTTAGCCCTTATCAGCGGAAGGCCGCCACATGCGGGTCTTCGGGTCGTTCTTATCAACACAAAAAGTGGTTTTCGGGGAATCGAAAGTAATGGAAGATGAAACCCGAAGCTGATGAATACATATTCACCGAAATAAAGTAATTTCACTATACCCTTGATTGATTGATCCTGTAGTCCGTTAATTCCTTCAAAAAAATGAACAAAAAAAAACTTACCATGACTAATAATCACTAGCTTAATCAATCGCTGATAAGCTCAATCGATAAGTCCCCCATGGTGTAATAGTTTTTAACACTATTCGATAACCTATCTTTGATTTTTCCTTTTTAGCGTACTGTAAACGACTTGGAACGAAAAAGGACTCTTCTCTTTTTTTAAGTAATGCAAGCAGCAGCAGCAGCAGTGATGGAGGAATCTAACGGTGAGTGGCCGCATCTAAATAACAATGGGAAAAATAATTTATTGTAAAAATGATCGCACAGCAACTACCATCGAGCAACAACCCATCGCCCTCATCAATGGCCAAGAGCAGGTGTCCAACGAGCAGCAACCATCATCGCCCACTACTTCGGTGGCCACGCCCACCAGCACCACCAGCGGCGGCACTGGCAATGCCACACCCGCCTTTAGCTACGACGACCTGTTCCCGGCTCTGCCGGCCAACACCTCGGCGCCGTCGCAATCCGGAGCTTCCAGCTCGACGATAGCCCGTGTGACTAGCTCGCAGAAGACGCAGGTAAGCACCTGGCTGAATTACATATGGCTCATCCTTTGAAATAATATATTTACTCTTTCCGGCTTCCTTTGCAGGTGTTGCATGTTCCCTGCGAGGAGCGCAAGTCCACGGAATCGGAGAAGTTTGGCGAAGGCGAGTCGAAGCGGATTTGCCAGCAGATCACCAAGGAGACGGGCGCCCAGATCGAGATCGTTAGCGGCAAAAACCAATCGCTTACCTTCTTGATCAAGGGCAAGCAGAGCGAGCTGCTGGACGCTCGCCGTAAGATTCTGATGAGCTTCTCGACGCAGGCCAGTCGTCAGGTGACCGTTCCGCGGGAGCACTACCGCGTCATCCTCGGCAAGGGTGGCCAGCGGCTGCGCGACCTTGAGCGCCTCACCTCCACGCGCATCAACATCCCCAGCCAAGGTGACGAGAGTGAGTTCATCACCATTGCCGGCACCAAGGAGGGCATCGAAAAGGCCGAACAGGAGATCCGTCAGCTGTCCGCCGAGCAGTACAAGAAGTCGTCGGACCGCACCACGGTGCCCAAGATCTACCATCCGTTCATTGTTGGTCCCTATAGCGAGAACCTGAACAAGTTGCAGGAGGAGACGGGCGCCAAGATCAATGTGCCGCCGCAGCAGGTGCAGAAGGACGAGATCATCATCTCTGGCGAGAAGGATGCCGTTGCAGCGGCAAAGGCGAAGGTGGAGGCCATCTACAAGGAGATGGAGAAGAAATGCTCCACCGTCAGTGTGGAGGTGGCCAAGCCACAGCATCGTTATGTTATCGGTCCCAAGGGCTCCACCATCGCCGAGATCCTGCAGCTGACCGGTGTGTCCGTGGAGATGCCGCCCAATGACTCCACCCTTGAGACCATCACTCTGCGCGGACCCCAGGTGGCCCTGGGAAATGCGCTCACCGTGGTTTACCAAAAGGCCAACTCTGTGAAGTCGGTGGAGATCAATGCGCCGCACTGGATCCACAAGTATGTGATTGGTCGCAAGGGCGCCAACATGAAGCAGCTGGAGGAGAACTGCCCCAACGTGAACGTCAACTGCCTGGAGGACAAGATCAAGCTGGAGGGTGATCCCGAGAACGTAGACCGGGCTGTCTCATACCTGACCGAAATTATCCGCAACTACGAGGATAACTTCACCTTCGAGGTAATGACGGTCAATCCCTCGTACTACAAGCACATTATCGGCAAGGCTGGCGCCAATGTCAACCGTCTGAAGGATGAGCTTAAGGTGAACATCAACATCGAGGAGCGCGAGGGCCAGAACAACATCCGCATCGAGGGGCCCAAGGAGGGAGTGCGGCTGGCGCAGCTTGAGTTACAAGAAAAAATCGACAAACTGGAAAACGAAAAATCGAAGGATGTGATCATCGATCGCCGTCTGCACCGTTCCATTATCGGCGCCAAGGGCGAGAAGATTCGTGAGGTGAAGGACCGCTATCGACAGGTGACGATCACGATACCCACGCCCCAGGAAAACACCGACATTGTAAAGCTTCGCGGACCCAAGGAAGATGTGGACAAGTGCCACAAGGATCTGCTCAAGCTTGTCAAGGAGATCCAAGAGTCATCGCACATCATCGAGGTGCCCATCTTTAAGCAGTTCCACAAGTTCGTCATCGGCAAGGGAGGCGCTAACATCAAGAAGATCCGTGACGAGACGCAGACCAAGATCGATTTACCGGCCGAGGGAGACACCAACGAGGTGATCGTCATCACCGGAAAGAAGGAGAACGTCCTTGAGGCCAAGGAACGCATCCAGAAGATCCAGAACGAGCTCTCCGACATCGTCACCGAGGAAGTGCAGATCCCGCCCAAGTACTACAACTCGATCATCGGCACTGGCGGCAAGCTCATTTCCTCCATCATGGAGGAATGCGGCGGCGTGTCCATCAAGTTCCCCAACAGCGACTCCAAGAGCGATAAGGTAAGGAATTATCTTCCCTGGCATCACAAATCGGTTTATTGAAAATTCGGTTCCGTGCTTTAGGTCACCATTCGGGGTCCCAAGGATGATGTGGAGAAGGCCAAGGGCCAGCTGTTGGAGCTGGCCAACGAGCGGCAGTTGGCTTCCTTTACTGCCGAGGTGCGTGCCAAACAGCAGCACCACAAGTTCCTCATCGGTAAGAACGGCGCGTCCATCCGCAAGATTCGTGACGCTACCGGTGCCCGCATTATCTTCCCCTCGAACGAGGACACCGACAAGGAGGTGATCACCATCATTGGAAAGGAGGATAGCGTGAAGAAGGCCCGCGAGCAGCTGGAAGCGATCATCAAGGAGTGCGACGAGGTCACCGAGGGTGAGGTAGCCGTCGATCCCAAGCACCACAAGCACTTTGTGGCCAAGCGCGGCACCATCTTGCATCGTATTGCCGAGGAGTGCGGCGGCGTGATGATCTCCTTCCCCCGCGCCGGCACCAATTCGGATAAGGTGACGATCAAGGGCGCCAAGGACTGCATCGAAGCGGCCCGCCAGCGTATCGAGGAGATCGTTGCCGATTTGGAGGCGCAGACCACCATCGAGGTGGTGATCCCGCAGCGCCAGCACCGCACTATAATGGGTGCTCGAGGCTTCAAGGTGCAGCAGGTGACCTCTGAGTTCGATGTGCAAATAAAGTTCCCCGATCGCGATGCCACCGAGCCCGTCGAGGGCCTCACCAATGGCGGTAGCGGAGTTAACGGCGCCGGCGATGGCCAGGACGGCGAGCAGGAAGCGGAGGCGGCAGAGCCAGTGCGTCAGTGCGACGTAATCCGCATCACGGGCAGGATCGAGAAGTGCGAGGCCGCCAAACAGGCCCTGCTCGATCTCATTCCCATCGAAGAAGAGTTGTCGGTGCCTTTCGACCTGCACCGCACCATCATTGGACCGCGTGGAGCCAATGTCCGTCAGTTCATGTCCACGCACGATGTGCACGTGGAGCTGCCGCCCAGTGAGCTCAGATCGGACGTGATCAAGGTCTCTGGAACGCCCGCCCGCGTGGCCGATGCGCGCGAGGCCCTGGAGAAGATGATCGAGGAGTACGAGGCCGATCGGGCCGACCGTGAACTGCGCTCCTACGTCCTCCAGGTGGACGTGGACACCGAGTACCACTCGAAGCTCATTGGCCGCCATGGCGCCGTGATTAACAAGCTGCGTGCCGATCACGACGTCAACATTTCGCTGCCCAAGCGCGACGATCCCAATCAGCGCATCATCTCCATCACCGGCTACCAGGCCAAGGCTGAGGCAGCACGCGATGCGATCCTGGAGATCGTCGGCGACCTCCAGACCCTCCACCGCGAGGTAATTGAGATCGATACGCGCATCCACTCGCACATCATTGGCCATCGCGGACGCACCATCCGCAAGATCATCGAGGATCACAAGGTGAGCGTGTGCTCTGAAAAGCCTCCTTGAGTTAGTTTCTATCGATTTTATAACTTTTTCAATCAGGTGGACATCAAGTTCCCCACTTCCGACGAAGCTCAAACCAATCCCAATGCCGTGACCATCATTGGCAAGGAGGAGGACGTTGAGAACGCCAAGGAAGTGCTCTTGAGCATGGCCGAGGACTACGAGCGTGATTACTTGGAGAACTTGCCGCCATCACCGCAGCCACAGACGGTCGGCGCTTTCCTAACTGGGTCAGGATCTGGACCCGGTTCTGGCAGCGGCGCTGGCGGTGCTGCCAGCGAGAACGGTTTCGTCATCAAGGACGCGCCGTGGGAGAAGAAGCAGCAGGCCAAGAATCTGACTGCGCCGAACACTCAGTCGCAGGAGGACTTTCCTCACTTCGCTGCTGGCGGAGCTCCGGCCACCACCACGCCCATCACTTCAGTGTGGGGGCCCAAGAACTAAGGTCGCCCTGCAGCAGCGTCAGCGGCAGCAGCAACAGTAGCAGCAATAACTACGCGTCGGGGTGCGCCGGGGGTCGGAGCTGGAGCTGGGCGGCAGAGCAGCGGCGGCAGTCGTGCGAACGGATGTCTCCTTAGTCGAAAACTAGTGTCAAAAACAAACGGTATATAGGTTGTCTCCCAGGAGCTTTTGTACAAAGCAATTTGTGCACGTTAATTGAAACAAAAAAAGGAAAAAAGAAAATGTGAATGACAAAACAAAACCAAGCAACTATTTTTGTATATGATTTGATACAGAATCGAACCCCAAAACACACACGATCGCAAAGCATAACAACAACAACAACGACACTCACACTCACACACGATGAAATTGCATTTATACAACATAGAATACAAGAACCGCGAAATGAGCAACAGACAACATAAAACTGAGAAACTGACTCACACGCCCACCCCAACCCGTTCCCCGTCACCCCCGATGTGTCACTTTATACATAAAACACTTAATTGCCAATTTCTTTTTTGATATAATAACCAACCATTCTTCATTGCAATACGAAACAAAGCACATAAAATATTCTAATTAGTTGAAGAGAGCTCCCCCCGAAAAGTATGGTTTTGTTAATTGAATTTTGAAAGGAAATGAACGAAAGTACATAATTGTAAGCATAAAATGTTAATTATTTACATTTACACAATCAATTTGTAATTTCGATCCTCTGTCTCTGTCCTCTCCGCCTCGCTTTTATCTTAGCTTGATTATATTCCATACTCAGATGTAGATGTTCGTTTTCGGAAGATTCCCCCCTCGAAAAGTTAGTGATTATTATGATTTATGCGGCGGAATGTAAAGGCCAACTAAATGTTAATGAACGTTAATTGTATTTGTAAAAACGTTTCCCCGAGCGAGAGAGTGTGGATGATGGAGGTGGCGAATATTATTTGAACAGCAATTATATAATTATACAACAATTTATACATTACAATTTACACTCTCAGCTCCTATTCCCACTCTCCCGGATCCTGCAAAGGCGAACCCGAACACACACACACAACACAAACACACCCCTACTATTCACATTTCAAAATGAGTACCAACATTTTAATTTTGTGCAATCCCCTTGATTTATATTAAATTGTTTTCGACTTATGTTTTCCGCTCTTAACTTAAATTTGTATGCTCCGCGGTGTGCATGGCCTTAAAAAAAAGGGAAAAATATAGAAAACACCCGAGTCCTACCAGTACTTTGTTGACTTTTCAGTTTTTTCCACCGCGCATTATATAATCTGACAGTTGAAACACAAAAGTATGAGAAAAAATTTTAATTTTTTACTATTACTATTCAATAAAATTATAAACAAAAAACAAAAAAACCATATAAAACCATAAATAAAAAACGTAAACAAATTGTATCTATTTCGTTTCTTCGTTCGTTTTCTTCCGTTTTTGGATTGCTTCTGTTTAATTTGTTTGATTTTTTTTTTAGAAAAAGAAACCTAAAATGATAACACCAAGAATATAACAGACCTGATATTGTAAATTTTTAAAAAATATACATACATATTTACAACAACTGCATTAGTAATTCTAAGAACGTAGCGAATACGACGAAATGATATAAATGTATATATTTTCCTATATTAACGGACAAAATCAAATGTACGACGAGAAGAGACGGAAGGCAAGGGCATTCGGTGGCATTTTGCACGGGCTGCAAAACAAGATATTTTCACTCACGACTCAACGTTTTTTATTACAATTATTATTATCATTTCAAATGCAGATATATGGCAGAAACATTCATCCGTTTGTATTTATTTCTTTTGAAATACAAAAGTTTTAAACTGAAACTTGCGTTTGAATAACGGTCAATTCATTTTGAATTGCCAACTCTGGATGATAGTGTTGGGAAAGCTTCGATTAATTAAAGTTTGGGGCATGCAACTTTAATTTAAAAAAATTAAGATTTATTTAAACAAAACTTAAACACAAAAGAAATATACACTAAATGATATTTAACAAGAAAGGAAGCTAACTTCGGCACGCCGAAGTTTGTATACCCTTGCAGATATTATTTCATTACATTTTACCTATACTTATTATGTTTACAGTTTGACAGTTACAGTTTTGCATTCCCAGCTTTACATTTTGTATACATCTACCGATCGGTTTATATGGCTGCTATATGATATAGTTGTCCGATTTTTATGAAATTTATACCAAAATTTTAGAACAATAAAAAAAGCCTATATCTCGAAGTAGATACAAATACGTTGAAAAACAACGAAGCTATAATTTTTTTCCTATTAATTTCCCGATCGTTCCTATGGCAGCTATATCATATAGTCGTCCGATTTTCATAAAATTTTTTATTAAAATTCAGAAATAATATAAAATGGCCATATCTAAAAAATGGTGCAAAAATATTGAAAAACAGCAAAGTTATAATTTTTTTTCTAAAAATTTATCGGACATTTGTATGGCAGCTATATGATATAGTCGTCCGATCCGGCCTGTTCCGACATATATAGCAGTGAGAGTATATAGAAGACTATATGCAAAGTTTCATTCAGATAGCTTTAAAACTGAGGGACTAGTTTGCGTAGAAACGGACAGACGGACGGACGGACAGACGGACAGACGGACATGGCTAGATCGACTCGGCTGTTGATGCTGATCAAGAATATATATACTTTATAGGGTCGGAAAGGTCTCCTTCAGTGCGTTGCAAACTTCTGACTGAAATTATAATACCCTGCAAGGGTATAAAAATTATCGATAAATTGATAAATTGGGCTTTTTGCTCATGGCCTCTCTCCATTCTTGAGCTGCGGTCACACTGCTCAGAAGCTCGGCAACAAAAAATAATTTTCAACTTAAAATTTTAGCGACAAGTGCGTTTTGTCTCGAAACAAATAACCAAAATTGCAAAAGTCCACCGGAGTTAACGTCGCCATGGAGGACCGTAAGTCTCCCGCTCCGGCGGAAAGTGCAATCAATGCAATTTACAAGCCGCTGCACACGTTCCGGCAGAGGTGTATCTTCTGCCATTGCTTGGGGGACGACAGCTACCTTGTGTACCTTTGTTTGTGCGGTGCCGCCAATTAGGAATTCATTGTCGCAGGACGCTGATTCAGCGGACGACTTGCAGGTGTAGAAAACCCAGAGTAAATAGGGTGTTGGGCCTGGCCTTGGAGCGGCGCTGGAATCGGCAGATGAGTCATGTTTCTGATTTGCGTAGGGTGAAAGGCTTTCCAACAGCCAAGCTCGCCAACTCGTGGGAGTCGTTCGACATGTCGTGAATGTGGAAAGAGGAAGAATGTGGGAATGCTAAGGTGGAAAATGTGAGGCGTAAACACATTTTACTTTATGTGGACGGCGATGTAAACATTGCATTTTATTCGGACGCCGCTGCATACGTGGCTGCAACAGCCGAAGCGCAAATTCTGAAGAGTCGGGGGTGGAGCAGGAACGCCTCCTCCGCGTATGTGGTTTTTATCAGTACATATTGGTGCCCCGTTAATTGTCCGAGCTTTGCTCTTCATCCAATAACTCTGAAGCAGCCAATAATTGGCCATTGCCTCCACTTGTTGAGCGTTCGATTGGCCCTGCCACAACAACAAAGACGTAAACAGCAGCACCAGCAGCAGAGGCTTCCATAAAACCAGACCCAAATATACAGGCATACACACACACAGATAAAGTAAGCCCTCGCCAAGTGGCACAATTACATCAGGTTCTTGTGTGCTGAAGAGTGGACAATGGTTGAGAAAAACTGGGAAAATTCAGCATAAAATAATATAATGCTAATTGCTATTTAGTCTTTGAAGTACATGTACAGTAAATACAAGTTAGGCGGGATTTGTTTTATTATAAACAATGTTTTTCCTTTGCTGTTATAGAGTAGAAACTTGGGAGACTCAGTTTAGATAAGTTATACTACGAAAAATAGTGGTAATTATATCCCATTAGCAAAAAAGCAAACAACAGTAAAAATAAAAGACACATTCATTCTAAATTGTTGGTTAAGAAAGACATCTATATATCTAGAGTATTTACAGTAGGTAATGGCTAAGAACCATTCCAAACCAATCTACTGCTTTCTTACAGTTGAATATAAAGGTTAAAGTACCATTGATAAATTATTTATTCTTAGTCCTTTACTAACTAGGTATGTACATGTGATAAGCCTTCTGTAATCTTCAATTCATTGTTCTCAGAAACAGCATTAAGTATGTTGATTATTATTACCAGAAACATCAACATTTTGGTTTTTTTTAGAGTTTGTAATTTGTTTCATGAAATATTTATAGCATAAAACTAATGCATTTCAAGACTTGGCTTATCGTTCTCCATTGATGACTTGAAAACTTAAAAATAGGCGTCTTTTAAAGGTGTTCCACATTTTAATAACTATGATTGTTATTAAATTAAATTTTTTATTTCCAGTATTTTCATAAATTCAGCCTATTCCATAGCTTACTCATCACATTGTTGAAGTTTATCAAAGACCCGATAGATAGTGACATTTAATTGGATATTTATCAACAGTTTGACATCGACAATTGCCGCTAAATTGATTTATTTAGTAACAAAATGATAAAGTCTAAAAGTCGCTAAAGTTTGCTGACCAACCATGCCGTCTCTCTTAAGCAATGTTTACTGTACTTGGTAGTATTTACTGCTGCTGCTGCTTGCTCTTTTTGAAGTTGCCCCTTTTTGCTTTGCGCTCTTTTATTTTTTGCGGCGTTGCTTTCGTCTTTCGTGCTGACACGAATCATCATGGCAAGCGGAGCCAGCCAAGCTAAGCCAAGCCAGCTACCACTCACCATCTACCTATTTCTAAGCCAAGATCGAGTCAGTTGGCTCTTGGCCGTGGGAGAGCGTGGAAGCAGAGGCCCAGAACCGGAACATAAACCGCTGGCCATACAGAAACTGAAACCGAAAACAAGCTCTGCGATCTCGTGTATTGGAGAGCAGGGGTATTTTTATGTGGAACTCGGTGGCGCACGAACTAAAAGCTCAGCAAAGACCCAGAGAGCGAGGAAAATGTGCGCCAGCGCTGACCGTGGAAACTTGATACGCGCCCAGGTGTAGGCCAAGAGAAGACCACATGCTCCTCCGCCAGCAGCTGCCTCTGCTGCTGCCACGTTCAAAATAGAAAGTGCTGTTCGGCGGCTGCCAAAGATGAAACAAACCGCCGCAGAATGAGCGAATCGGAGCCGAATAGCCTGGAGTTCATTGAGGACTCCTACCTGCCGGGCATCGATGATCTCACCACCTTTACCCCGTCACTGGATCCGGATCCGGCGCTCAGCGATGACGATGATGCCTTGGATTGGTACGGCGATGCGCCCGAGGATAGCGAAGCGGAGCTTTATCTGCGCAACCTAACGCTAGATCAAATCTTTTACGATGTGGACTCGGACTACACCAACAGCCTGGAGCTGCAGGCCGTGGAAACGGAGTTCATGGGCGCCAAGCTGGCTAACCAGGCGCCCACCGCCTCGATGGCCAAGCGCTTCCGCCTCAAGTTCTTCGCCAAGCGAACTATGCGCGACCTGAAGGTCACGTTCATAGACTTCTCCAAGCCGTATCTGGCCAAGATTTCGAACAGTGATAACTACAAGAGATTCCTCAATATAGCCCAACGTAGTAGAGGTACTAAGATGGGGGTTCCAGGCGTAGCTTAGGGTTCTTCTCTTGTCATATTTCCCCGTTTAAGCCCATGACTAACCGAAGACTAACTTCTCTCTGTCTCTCCCTCTTTCTTCTCGTGTGCTGCCGCCTTTCGGCCCGACAGTTTGTGAGTATTTAACCAAAAACTAAACCCGAAAACTAACCTAATTATCCAAACTCATGTCTTTGCAATTGTACAAAACCAAAACGAACTAACCGAATTCGGTGTACTCTCAGCCTATGACAAAGTCTTTGAGGAAGTTGCTTTCAAAGGAGGTACATACATAAACCCTGCCCTTCCCCGCAGACAACATCCAAATTAAGCTACAGACAGTTACCCCACCCACAGCACTCGATTTTACCTTGTCCCCACTCTGATTTATGGAAATGTAATGGCCATCCTTTCTTTTCCTGGCACAGATAACACAGCCAACCTGTCGGAGCCCACATCTCCAGCCGCTTCTGTGGCCTCCGCAGAAATTGCCGCCGAGTTTGCTGCGCTGTCCGTAGAGGAGAAGGAGCAGCGGCGTGCCGAGTGGAGTCAGGTGAGAGGATTTGCAGGAAGATTTCTGAATTAAAAACGAAACTTACGTTGCTTTTACTTTTGCAGGAGCTGGCCCGCGTTGAGGAGGAGATCAACACGCTGCGCACCGTTCTCGCTTCGAAGACGCGACATGCATCCGATCTCAAACGCAAGCTGGGCATCACCGTCTGGAAGGAGGTGACGGATGACATGAATCAGGGACTGAAGAACATCAAAGAAAGCACTGTGTAAGTGTACGATTACCGCCTTTAAACCCGACTAGCAGCCGGCAGCAGCCATTAATCATTGATCTCCTAATTTCTAACCGAGCCTTTGTTTTTAAACCCATGTTAAACGATAAAAAACAACATGTATTTATATTTAGTTACCAATCGGTGGAGCAGAGCGTGGAGAGTTTTACTAAAGCCGTGCACGAGGCACCCCTGTAAGTAACGTGGGTTGTGGATCGCTCGCCTCTCGGGTCTAACGCCGTGTCTCACGCATCTTCCTCCTCTAACACAATAACAACTCTTCTCCCGCCTGTTTTGTGACTAAAAGCACTTCCGTTTGCCCACTTTATGTTGATCGGACGCCTTCCTCCCGACGAGTAACTAATGTTGGGCTATCGTTATTGTCTTTCCACAGCTATCAGCGGACTGAGTCGGTGCTGAAGTCGACGGGCGAGAAGACCGCCTCGGTGTTTGGCAGCATCACCAGTGGCATTTCCTCGAAATTGTCGCAAATGAAAAACTCCGAGTCGATGCGTTCTATTGAGGCTTCGGTGGGCTCTGCCTACGAGAACGTTAAAGTAAGCTATGAACACAACAATTTTATGTGCCAATCTCATGCGGTAACTACTATTTTATTATATATCTCTCTGTCTCCACACACACACATCTGTCTCATACTGTTGCGATTCGTTTTGGTTCCCATCTAACTAACCCATCTCAATTGCATCTCACACACCTGCTCACGCACCCTCTTAAACTCACACTCTGATTGGAACTCTCTTTTCGGTTGATTTTGCCTGCTTACACAACGAACTCCTTGGGACATTGTGGCTGCACTCGAAACTATTACAAACTGTGTCCGCTTTTCTGTTCTATCTATTGTAGACCAAGGTGACATCGCGTTCGGGCTCGGTATCCAGTTTCCCGGACGCTCTGGACGAGAGCAACACATCCTCGGGCCTGAACTCACCCACAGACGCGCTCACTAAGTAGAGGTTCCTCCAGAAGGGAATCCCATAACTTAGCGTCGAAGCGTTGAAAAGCGAAGAAAACTATTCTACACACACACAGTACACTAAAGACCCAAAAACAACACACAAACACACTCTAATAACTCATTAAACTAACTACGAATTGTCGTGTCTGCACACTAACCACAGGATCAGAATTTAACTTAAAGATCAAGTACGTGTGTTGCATATACATATAACTGGAAATAACTGTAAATCTGTGCAACATATATTGGCTTGATGGGAGCACATACAGGCTCGAACTGCATGAATTGTTTTTGAACTTGAAGCCGAATTCATTTATCTAACCATCAGTCTAATGTGTACTTGCAAAGACCAAATAATTATATTCGGAAGCCGTCATTCCCAGGGTCTTTTCTTTCCAATACTTAGTTGTCGTTTTTAGCGGATAACAAATACAAATATATATATTTTATTTCTTCTCTAGGCCTTGAGTCACGTGGTTAGATGGCGATCCCATTGAGAAGCAAACTTGCAAAATTTCCTACGATCCAATATATATTATTCGAATTGCGATTCAGAGCTTGTGTGCAAAAATAACAAAATAACGAAAATCCATTGGTAATTTTAAGAGGTTCGGGTACAACCCGTACTGCTAAAGAAACTGAAAACATGTAAATCGCACCCGATTTGTTGCTATATAATGCTGATCTAAGATTTGCTATATGTGTATATGAAAAACTTTGAATAAATGCAATTTTTTGCCCCTGTAAAAGAGAACGTTACTCGAGTTATTTTGGGGAATCTAAGATCTTACTTGGGTATTTTTTAAGAAGGGGTTTATTTATTATTTGTTAACGCGACTATTAATTAAGCTTAGAAATGAGTATTCCTAGCAACGCCTATTATCTGTACTTTATATTATAGTCTGAAAGTTCATTAAAAGCATTAGGGGGGTCTTCCCATTGAGCAACTTTATTTATAGCTTAGGTAGTTGTGAATATGCCCCTAAAAGGATTTTTAGAAATTCGAAATACTTTAGAAGATACAGCCTTTTTTGTGAAGCAAGGTCTTCGCAAAATGAGCTATTTTCAAACTTCAAACGCGTTTTTCGTACTGGCGGCCATGATATCTGCAGTTCAACTGAACCGATTTTCATGAAACAAAGTGGAATCGACGCAGAATTGTTACCATTTTCGGGTGACAGGAGATTATAATTAAAAAAAAAAAGTGTTACCATTTTGTTTACTATTTTTTTTTACACTAAACTAAAAAAAAAAAGCCCGAAATTGAATTTTATTTTTGAATGGCCGCCATTTTGTCAAAAATAAAATTACAAAATTATTGCCGACTGTCACCCGAGAATGATCCATACTGAATATAACCCCGTTTTTTTGTTCATTTCAAACGCTCCGGAAACCCGGAATCGTGGCCGCCGTGACGAAACCTTTTTTTTCCACCATCGAGGCAAAAAAAATTTGTTAAATTACTTTGAACCTTTTTTAATACAATAAATAAAAAAAGTTTTCAATTATTCTTTGAGTTTTCAAATAAGAATTTTTTTAAAAAGGGACCAACGGGTTTTGAATGAGAAGACCCCCATTAAGGGGAAAAGGTTAATTCGGTGTCCACTTATAATTCCTTCCTTCCTTCCTAAAATATAACATATTTAGTATTAGTAATATTATAAAATAAAATATCTAAGATACGGTTGCTTAAAACTCCACACTTTTCGAAAACCCCGCCAATAAGACACACTTGACTTGACAACCCTACAAGATGCCAGGGCTGCAAGGCATCAGCAGCTGTTTCGGCCAGACAGCTGCGCATCCCTGGTCTTTCGTATTTCGTATTCCTCCAACTTAATTTTTTCCACCCGCCAGCGATTCTTTGGAAAAATGATGAATTTTAAATGAAAAGAGTGTCCAAGAAGAGCGCGTCGTGATGCCGGAGAGCCAATAAGCAGCTCCGAAGTAAAGTGCGATTAAATAGTGTAGTTTTAAACAACGGAAACGGCTGCGCTGACCGGAAGAAGGCGCAGCAGTGGGAGGAGGGAGCATTGTTCTAAATGCCGAATTATTACTCATTTTTACCGAAACGTATTTGAGTGTGCCTAGTTAGGTCAGTTAATTAACAAATTCACGCCGGACGATGAACTTCACGTACTTGTTCGTGCTCATTTGGCTGGCGCTGCTTATTAGCGGCGGAGTGCTGCTGTTCTCGCGGGGATTCCTGCTGGCCCGCGTCTCCAAGACGGAGACGAGCACATGCCGCAGACTGTCCACGAATCCCAATGATGTGAGCACCATTTCGTCTCTGAAATCAATCAAACTTTACATGTCATTCGATTTGCAGGAGTATTTCCTCACTGACGAGGTTGTGAACGAGGTCTTCAAGGATGTCAATGCCTCCGCCCATCTGTGTCTGCCGCAAAAGACAAAGGTGATTATCCTGGTGGTGGACGCGTTGAAGTACGAGTTCGGCCTGTACAAAGAGAACGTCAAGGAGCCTCTGCCCTACGAGAACAAATTGAAGGTGCTGCAGGAGCTGCTCGAACAGAGCCCGGATCATGCCAGGCTGATGAGGTTCAGGGCGGATCCGCCCACCACAACGATGCAACGCCTGAAAGGTCTGACCACCGGCAGTTTGCCCACCTTTATAGACATCGGATCGAACTTTGCCTCGCCGGAGATCAACGAGGACAATGTGATTGACCAGATTGTGAAGAGCGACCTGCCCCTGGTCTTTCTGGGCGACAGCACCTGGACGGATCTGTACCCGCGTCGCTTCAAGCGCGCCTACGCCTACCCCAGCTTCGATATCTTCGACCTGGACAGTGTGGACAATCAGATAATGAAGCATCTGCCCAAGGAGCTGGCCAGCGGCGATTGGCAGGTGCTGGTGGCTCACTTTCTGGGCGTGGATCATTGCGGACACAAGCACGGACCCTTGCACGAGGAAATGGCGCGCAAGCTGGGCGAGATGGACGCAGTGATAAGGTAGGAGCGATGATGAGCCGACCAGTAGCTCCGGGAACTACAGTTTCTCCCTATTCAGATCCGTGGTGGAGGCCATGGACAACGAGACCACTCTGCTGGTGATGGGTGACCACGGCATGACGGCATCTGGGGACCATGGCGGCGACACCGATGACGAAACCAATGCCCTGCTGTTTGCCTACTCCAAGCAGCACAGGTTCTACGGCAATGATACGGGCTCAGATAGCGAAATGCTGCAGCAGGTGAGATAAGATAGGACGAGCGGTAATCTGTCGGCACGTCACTGCGACTGTGATATCTCTTTACCAGATTGATCTAGTGCCCACCTTGGCCACCATTCTCGGCGTACCCATACCCTACTCCAACCTGGGCCTGATCAACTTCAACCTCATTCCCGAGATCCCGGTACCGCACCTGAACAGGTTCCAGACCCTGCTACTCCACGTCTGGCAGAATGCCCAGCAGATCTACCGCTACTTCTTCCAGTACGCCCTGGAGAACAAGCGCACCTTCAATGTGGACGAGATGGACCGCCTGGAGACCGAGTTCATTCTGCTCACCCACCGCGTGCAGACGATATACAACGAGGCGGCCTTCAAGTCGTTTGTGCGCGATCTGAACATCCACCTGCGTGACATTTTGAGCACTTGCCGTGAGATCTGGGTGAGGTTCGAGCCGACGCAGATGCTGCACGGGCTGCTCTTCAGCTTCCTGCCCGTGTTCTTCATCTTCCTGCTGGTAAACAACTCACGGCCGGCGGACTATGTGCGCATCTTCAAGGCCAAGGAGGTGTTCTACACGTACCTGATAAACCTGGCCGCCGGGGTGTTCGGGTACCGCTACTACAAGAACTTTTCGTTCAAGACGGAAGAGCACGGAGTGATCTTCTTCACGGCGCTGGCCAGTATTGTTATCTTGGCCTTCCACACGCTTCGTCACTGGGCCAGCATTGTCGAAAACTGGGCTGCTGTCAGGCGGTTCGGACACATGCCCACGCGCCTCCTGCTCTTCGGCTCCATGGCCGTGTTCTTCTCGAACAGCTTCGTCATCCAGGAGGCCAAGATGCTGTCCTATCTGCTGGCAGGGTCTATTCTCGTGCTCAGCCACGAGCTCTTGCGATTGAGCGCTCGCGTGGAGTTCAGGAACAAGCTCAAGGTCTCCCAGCTGCTGCGCTCCACTGCGTTGAGGCTGATCCTGGCCAGCGTCTTGGCGATCTGCTTTATACGCTTCGCGTACACACTGTTCCGTTGCCGCGAGGAGCAGGGCAACTGCACGGACTTTGCCACCAGCGGTGGCCCGGGATTCTCACTCAAGAAGCCCGGCACCGGCAAATCCTACATCTTGGCCGTATTCATGATTGTGGTGTACACGACGCTCACGCGGTTGTACCTCCGATCCTGCGGCAATCTTACGGGGAATTCGGCCAATGTCCTGCTGGCTCGCTACGGACCCACGGTGGCCTCCATCTGCGCCGGCGGCCACGTGCTGCTCGCCCACAGCTCCATCAAGAATATCCAACGCTCCCACATAGATGCCATGGCGCTGGTCATCTACGGCCTGCTCCTGCTGCAGATCGTAGTGGTTTCCGTCGCTCCGCTGATGACGTTTGTGCTGCCCCCAAGGACCGGCAATACGGTCACGATCAACGGCAACGAGAGCATTGTGCCGGAGATATTCAGGAAGATGAAGCGCATGTACGAGGGCGACGACGACGTGGAGCGTCGAAATGCCATACCAGTGGTGTACGGCTTGGCCACCGTTTACTCCTCCATTGTCATCGCCTTTGGCGTGTTCCTGGCCCTGGTGATGATCGTCCTCCTGGAACCGCGTGCTTCCATCGGCTTAGTGATTTGCGTGGCCGTCGGCGCCATCCTGCTCAGTGTGCACGGCATTCTGCGCTATCGCACGGCCACCAGCTTTGGTAAGTTCCTCCTCAAGTGGAGAAGGATGCAACAAGGGCTTTAATGCAGAGATTTCTTCCCTCTCAGAGAGCTGCGTGCAGCCCACTTTTACGGCCCTGGTGGGCTGGTTCCTGCTGGCCCACTTCTGCTTCTTCGCCACCTCGCACCAGACGACGCTCTCGCAGATTGAGTGGCGCGCCGCCTTCGTGGGTCGCACCACTGGCCTGGGACAGTCCAATGTCATATCCGGTTGCCTGGTGATCCTGAACACCTTCTGCGGTCCCATCTTCTTCTTCTGCATGTACTCTCTGCTGAGCACGGAGACATTCTCCCTCTTCGCCCTGTTCCCGAACCTAATCCGAAGCTGTAGGAACAATGCTGGCAAGGCGGACGCGACGACAACCTTGTCGGAGTTGGCCAACGAGGCGGTTGGCTTCGATATGACGAGGGGCGAGCTGACTCTGTACGAGTACGAGGACGTGTTCCTGGGAGCTAACTTCAAGCTGGCCGCGCAGTTTTTTATGCTGCAAGGACTCAAGGTAAGAACTATCTTTTATTTATTCATTTATTTTTCAAAGTTAATTTAATTTAGTTTTTTTTGTAAATTTAAGTTAAATTATTCTGTACTTCTTATTCGGTAACAAATTATAAATCCGAACGTCTTATTTAAAATTTTTTTTTGTTCATTGAAATAAATGAACATTGAAAAACGTTTTTCAAAATGCACTTAATATTATAGAGTAAATAATATAATAAATCAAATCTGTATTATTAAGATCTATACAAAAATCGTAATCATTATTATTTGGAAAACGTCTGTAATTACTGACTCTAAATTAACATATTTTGAGAGAATCTTTCAGTCAGTTTCGAGTCGCAACCACTCAAAAGTCTCATCTAGGTGGAATAATTGTTAAAATTACCTTTCAAATCTGGCTGCGGATAACCATACATATATGCTGCTTTAACTGATAATTAATCTTTGCCTCTTTCAGATCTTTTGTGCCATGCTCGCTTGCACTATTCACTGCCGCCACTTGATGGTTTGGAAGATATTTGCGCCGCGCTTCATCTACGAGGCGCTGGCCACCTTTGTCAGCTTGCCGGCCCTGATTGTGGGCTACCTGCTCCTGCTGCGCATCCACCGCGCCGTAGACACTCTGATAAAGCGCATCAACAAGACCAAGGTCCACTAGTCAGTCTCAGTCTCTCAAAATGCTTCACTATTTATTTAATAAAATAAAACCAACTGCTTTTGGTGGTCTTGTAGTTTTTTTTAATCTTATTTACTTTTCTTTTTTAGCTTAGACTTAGAATTAAAAGTATCGGGTTCACAATTTCTCCAAAAGACACACAGAAAAACGTCATCATCGATGGATTTACATACAAAGTGTGGTAGGATCTAGGCTTTATGGCTTACAAAATTAACACGATCAAACAAATGACAAGAAAATTAAGTACGGGCATCGATTACAGTTCCTCCTCCATCATCATCATCCTCCTGGGGCGGCTAAGTACGCAAATAAGTAACAATATTTGTGGGGGGGTGTGTGTAAATCAGAGCACCCTTCATTTGGGGTCTTCTTCTGTTTCGCTTTCGTTTTTGTACATTTTGTTGCCAGGTCATTGGTGTTGTGTTGCTTATCTGTCGTGTAACATAATGCGTGTGCAAAAGAGATTCAGGGACAGTTCCGAAGCCTACTACTGGCCATTGAGGACCAGCGGCGTGCTCGACACTCCGTTAGCTATAAAATCAAAAGAACAGAGAAAACACAGAGGTCAGGCCGAAATCATAAAGAGAGGAGCGTAGAATTTCAAAAGAAATGAAGTGAAGAAACGCAGGCAGAGGCTTATGTTATGTACAGCTGCGGAAACGCAAGCTTTTGGTTCCATATTCTTTGGCTGAGCACGGTAGTTGATGACTCCCATGACGGTCCCTAGTCGCTGTTCTCGTCATAGGGATGATACTGCTTCGGCGGCGCCGGCTGTAGGTCCTGCTTACCGTGCGTCGCCGTGCGGCAGAACTTCTTGGAGATGCTCCAGTCCTCCTTCAGGGAGAGATTGAACATGGAGTAGTCCGGATCGCCGGTCACCTCCTTGACAATATTCAGGAACTTGGGCATGCAGTTTTTCAGGGCGTCCCCGGTGAGCGATGAATATGTCTCCAGCAGCACCAGTCCCTTGCAGCTGCAGGGGGAATTACTTTTATATGTTTGTTAAAGTAAAAAACGATCACGAAACGCACCGTGGATGGCCGGGCTCCTTGTAAATGTCCAGCTGGAAATATTGGTTGTTGATGAGGAAGCAGCGTCGCTTCTTGTAGATGGTAAAGTGGGCATCGTCGCGCTGCGCCAGCAGGTTCATGTAGTCGCGATGCGTCAGCTGGGTCTTCACCTCGATACGGGCCTGCCCGTGGACGTTGGGACGCCTCTGTGTGTGAATGTAGCTCCAGTGGTTCTTTTGCCCGCGCTTGCGTAGGCGTGCCTGCACCTTGGGCCCGGCGGATTGCAGATAATGATGCACCACATCAAAGTCCTGGAAGGGCGGAAACTCGCTGTCGGCGGGCAAGGCGGCAACTGTAAGAGGTGACCAAGCGAGCTGCTTTAGAAGGACTCTTATTGACACGGAAGGGAAAACCTACCCAGATATTTCAGCTTGCGCGACGTGGCCTGCAAACGATCGCCAATATCAATGCCAAGTTTCTGGCATACCGACTCAATCATGCGATTCATCTTCGCCTCAAAGTTGGTGGAGTTGTCAATCACATCGAAGTAGGGATGGCCCACCCAGGCGGCAGCCGATTTGTAGTCCAGTTCCCTGGCCAGATCAACGCCCTCGGAGCGGCAGGCGTGGTCCTGAAAGAAACGATCATGCAATCAGTTAACTGTTGGATTTGGAGTGCTTAGCCCTTAGCGCCGATTAGAAAGCCACTATAAATATTTGAAAAAACAACTGTAACAAAAATGATGGGTCTGAGCTACCTGACGTTCTAATTAAGTTTACAAATGAGCTTTAGTACATATTTCATCTTCATGAAAGAGCTAAAATCATCATTGTTTTAGCTGTAGTTTTCGATAGGTACAGGCTACATCCTCTAGCATGTACACACTTTACTTTAAAATAAGAACGACCATCTAGGGTTAAGAAAATTACAAAGAAAACTATAATAAATGGATTATAACATTTGAATTTAAATATAATACAAAGGCATGAATTTCAAGTTGAATATTAACAGTGGCGACCGTGACCATTTCATTGGATACCTGATAGTGGCGCTTTCTGTTCTACCATTTTTATCGGGCGATTAGACAAGAGAATTTGGTCAAGTGAAAACTGCTCTGCTGACCAGCAGGAAGACAAACTCACCTCTGTGGAGTAAAAGTCCTCGGCACCGTTGGCAGCCGAAACCAAGTGAAGGATCTGGTTGTAGCGATTGTCACGCATCTCCACGGGATTCCATTTGTTGCCCGCCATCATCTTCTCCCACTTGTCCTTCGATATATCTGCAACAAGGAGGGTTAATCGGGTTAATTTTCTTCAGATTCCAAACCGGGCTAAAGATCAAAACTCACAGGCACTGGCATCCATAACGCCGCGATCGCAGATTATCAGACAGTTGCGGGTGCTCGAGTTGCCGAGCTCAAAGTAGGTGTTCTCAATTTGCACCATGGTGCGGATCAGGTTCTCCTGGAACTTGTAGGCTGCGTTTGGGGGAGGAAGGAGTGGATGGAGAACGTTACTCTTTGGACTCTCTCATCGCATTGGTTTGCGTTTTTTATTTGTGTTTATTTACTATCAAAACAAATAGAAATCGAAATACAATTGCAAGCAAATTCGAATCGAAGGAAATTTAACACTGTGGGCATCGAATTGTAAGAGAATTAATTGGACTTGGGCTCTGATTGAAGTGGGATGACAGTGCTGTTGATGGACGATGGCCAGTATCCAGTTCTGCGAGTTCAGCGATGTCAAGTCGAGGCGATGAAACCTAATCTGAATTTGAGTCGATGGAATGAGTGAGTGAGTGGCGGGCGAACGAATCGAATTTAACACAGTTCAGTTCAATCAACTTGTTGTTGTCAACGGGGATGGAAATGCCTTATTTTTTGTTTCCCCATAAACAGTTCCTAATCAGCTGGAGGTTAAAGAGCTCATCTGCTCCCAGATGTTACTGTCTCAATGGATGGAATGACAGTGTGACTTTTGCGCCTGTCTTCCTCCAGACTCTCAATTAGATTTCAATGATTTTATTCATTTGGAAAGCGGTTATTTGCAGTCATATTTCTGGTCTGGTTTAGTAATTTTCTGAAGCTTAAATAAGACAAACATAAAGCTCGCTGTTTGTACAATGAAACCACGAAAATTAAATTGCTTTTAAATTGCCTGATTTAATTTATCTATTTGCTTTTCGTTCAACTCTGGCATTTCCTGCTCTTTAATAGCTTGAAAAAGTCAAATTCAACCAAAATATTAACCGGAAAATGCTGTGAGCGAATGCCTCTATTTATAAACGCTTATTTTTATTTCGGTTTTCATACGAAATGTTTTCTTTACATTCTATTCCCTAAATCTAGCGCCTCGACCGTCGTCATCAAGCCAAAGCAGTTGAAACAAGTAACTTAATAGTAATCTCCCACTGCGCCACACACAGAGCCTCAGCTGATTTAGGCGGCGACGAGGGGGTTTTATTCCCAGAGACAGGGAGTCACCGGCAGCCGCCATCATTAGCGATAAGCTTTCTATATTTCATAACCGCACACTTATTTATAACGAGCACAGTGAACGTTCTCGAGCAGTTACTAATCTTTTTAAATAACTAAAGATAACCTATATTGGCTTCAATATTAAATAAAAAAGCTGAGTGGAGTGATTTGATAAAACTAAAAAGAATAAGCTGCAGAATTAGCAGTTTCTTCTGTGATAAGTTAAAGGTATAATCATAAAATATTTTGTGGATCCCATACAAATCATATAATTTTTTGGAAAACTTATATTTTACAGAGTCAGCAATATCAACACACAAGTTTCCGGAAAAGAAACAGCTTTTTGTTCAAATTAATCCGCTTTAATTTGGCTTTGTAAGCGAAATTTGCAACTTTTTGTAAACATTTTTTAAAAAGAAATCAGACTAATTTTGAATATAATTGTAGAAAAGGTATAATCAAGTGTGAGAATGAAGAAAATGTTGACAATTGAAGCCAACCTGTTGCTAGAAACATGTTGCTAGCTAAAATTACTAGAAAGATTGTCTTTTTAAGTGTTCTTTTTTTTCAGTTCACCAAGACAAGTTCCTCTGTAGTTGTTATGAAGTGAAAGGCAATGTCAGGTGGGTTCAGTGGCTGTGGTTGGAGTCAGGTGCATTTTGGGGGAGCGACGCAACAACACTTGTTGCTATTCTCAGTCGCGTGCAATTGCGGAAAAAAAGCATACAAAAAATGCACTGCTGCTGCCTTTGTTTACGCATTAGCTTGTGCCTTTTTTATTGGTTGAAATTTCTATAGCAATTTCTGCTGCAATTGCATTGAACTTGACTCGCCGCATCGTGTGACAGGTGAAATGGATCGATTTGTGGGACGCGTCGTTGGCTTGTTTGCCATTGTTTACTGCTGCCTTTTTTATTTTTTATTCTGTGTTTTTGCTACGGTTTTTGTTCTAATTCAATTAGCAACGATGATGCAAGAGAAAATATAATGAAAACAAAAAAAGCCTCAAGATTGTATGTAAGCGAGTGTACGCGTATTTGCAATTTCACCAGCTATTGCGCATTAGACAATGGAAATCGGTACACTGGAAATATTAAATAACTTGGGTTTTTAATATATTTAATTAATATTTTTTCCTTTTTAATTGAATTTATTTTTTAGGATGTCTTTGAAAGTCAGAAACGATTCATTAATTGATGTTTCAAACTACTTTTGATGAGTAAAAAGTTCAAGATTTAGAATTACAGAAGAGTTAAGAGAATATCTTATCCCATTATGCTTTTTAATACTATGTTAATATTTATAGTTTAATTATATTGTAGTACCCTTTATATTTGCATAGTTCCTTTTAAAAAACTTTGATTATAACTACGCTGTTTCTAGTATAGTTAATTTATATTTTTCCCTGTGCATTAAAACATCTGGATGATTGTCTTAGAACTGAGGTAGGTATGCTAGTTGTGTGTTGTTCTGGCGATTGTGTGTGATTGCCCAGCCAACCTTTAATGGACTCCGAGATAATAAAAATGTATGCAGATTAGGAGGTTCTTTTTCCACATACAAACATACATGTATATTTAGCCAAGTTAATTTGCATAAGCAAAAGATTTGCCTAATGAAGGAGTTGGATGGGTAACTTACAAATATATATAAATATAAATGAAACAAAAAAAAAAGAAGGTAAATGAAGGGCGAAAGGGGTAGGGCTGGGAGCAAATCAACAGGCAAAAAAAAAACTAACAAAGAAAAAAATAAAATCGTTTAGCAATCAATTTGGGGAAATCAATCGAGCAAGGAGGACGGACCACCGACAAAACTGGCAGACAGACAGACAGCCAAGCGACGATAACGAGTTCAAACGAGAATTCTTTGGCAAGACTTGTGACAAACCCCTCCCCCCCCTACACCACCCACCTGCCCCGTCCAGCCCCCTTTTCTTCATATACATTATCTATTAAATGTTCCTATATGTATGTGCTTATTTTTATGGATCTGTGTACAACTATCGCACACAAACACAGCTGCGGTTGAAATATTAGCATTAGCATGAATATGCGAAATTAAAGAAAATAAACCTAGAGGTAATTTCACAAGGTTATTTTTGCTTGTAATTTAAGGAAGCCATTGTGTTTTTCCTTAAAATATTTAATTGTTAAAGTAAAGGTGATTTAACAATAAGGAAAATTCTGGTTTTAATTATAAATTTCAACAAAATAATTCAAACTAATTAAATACCATTACTCTTTACTGCTTGATTCAGTGTAATATTTTTAAATTATTTAAAGGTCATATTTAAATAATTAATAAATAATATAAATGTATATTTATAGTTTCTTTCTCATAAGAAAAAATAAACACAAAGCCAAAGAATTTAATATTTTAAGAGTAATATTTTGTTTTTTAACTTTATAATAAATTTGTTTTGAAAGGTAATTATTTTTAGTAGTAAACCAAACTCATTTTCGAATATTACTCCTATTATTTCAATCCCAACTGTGTAGGAGAACCCAGCACAGCAAAAAATAATTGAATGGAGCGGCATTTTAACGTCCAACTGCGAAGAGAGAGTAAACAAAAGTCGGAGGGGCTTCGATGGGGGCCTCTCGATCGAGAAGGGGGCAGGCTTGGGAAGCGGATGTCGAACTCGCGTCAGCATCACGAGCACACGTGACGCGATGATACATTTCACATTTCACATTATATTCGTCCCATAATACACACATTTAATTAGCCAGTCTGAGAGTCAGATCGGCACATAGGATAAATACCAAAAAAATAAATATAATGCCGAACTGAAAACGAAAATGGCTTTTAGCTGGGAAACTGCCATGTGGCCATGGCTGACTGACTGGTCGAGAATAATATGTATTTGGCATTTACAGTGGCTGCTGAAGAGCTTAAAAATTGTATTTTTTTCATATATTTATTACTTTTAAAAAACTAGAGATACGACAAATTGAGCTCATTTTGAAAATGATTAATTTTAGCAAATTAAAGAGATTATTTGGCATTAAAAAAAGGTATTTATTAAGTCGCAAAATAATAAGTACACATAACAAAAATATATTTAAAAAAAAGAGATTTTTTATTGAGTTTATAATTCCCAACTAATGATCGTAATTCGTGATCTAAAGTAAACTGTTCTTATAAGAAAACTTCCAGACTTCAAACTTCTATGTATCATCCCACCCAACAATTCCATTTCTTGGATGTTCATTGTCCAGATACCATCCCACACACGTGCTTAGCGGGACAGGCCCCACCAGACCAATGACCAAGATATATATTCGCCTCTTTGCTCATAACATATGCTGCGACTGGCTAAATTTAAATGTCCCATTTAAATTTGCTGAAAGTGTAGCGACTAGCGACGAATTGCAGAGGCTTGGCGTGAAATATTGTTATTGAAATGAGCAAATATATATTATCTGTTAGGTAGAATAGATGTACACAAGTGTTGTTAGATGGACGAGGCACATAAATCATAGTAAAGAAGCCAGAACAAACAGAGAACAAAAAACACACACACACATCACATAGTACACTTTATAGGAGTTATTAAAGAGGGAGAGAGCTGTGTCTGTTTGGTGAAATGTCAAGTCTTTTAGGGACGGGACACAAAGCAAAGATACGTGTGACAGCCGGTGACGGGGTCTGTGTTCCAAGACTTTGCCGGTGCCGGGTTGACAAAATGCATTTTTAATTTGAAATAATAATAAAGCAGCTCAAGGACGCAGGTTAAAAACAGCAGGAGACTGGACTTGGACTGGGTACTCAGTTCGGTTCGATTAGAGCGGTTTGCGCAGTTTTGCAAAACAGAAGGATATATGCATATTTAACAACCGATCTGTGGCTCCTTTGTGTCGCAACTCACCTTCGCTGCCATTCGGCCGGGAGGCAGCCTTGGCCAAGCAGCGCGGACAGGATGCGGTTAGATCGATGAGACTGTGCTCCGGAGCGGCGAAGGGCAGATCTTTGTAAACGAACGTGGTTGGCGTGGGCGGGTCTGTGAGTGTGGTGGCGTGTGGTTGGTTGGTTGTTTTGGTTTGGTTTGGTGTGAGTGGGTATTAGATTAGCCCTGGCCAAAGGTTTCAGCTCCCCCTGGTCGCCCGCAGTCGTCGTCGAGTGACTCATAGAGACCTCAGTTTGTCCTACATCCCAGGCTTTGCAAGGAATTGCGACAGGAAATCGACAGACATGTGATCAGAACTGGCCACCTCCTTATCTATATATCTTATCGGCTAGCGCTTTCGGCAATCTAAAGACAGCCCCTGCTCTTGGCAACCCCCTGCGTCGCGAGTTGGCGAATCCATTAATAACCATAATTGACAAATTGTTTGCGCGAGTTAAAAGGAAGACAAGTGCAAGTGAAATGGCCTCGAGTCACGCAATCAGGATATCGAGTAGGAATTCGAATCGTACCATGTCCAACGGCATTACGTAAGGTTTCATTGAAGACGTGACTTTGGCGGGGGCCGTCGTCTGACTATATATACTCAGAGATATACACTAGATATACTCATCTATACTATCTATATAGAATGGCGGCTGTCGCACTTGCCGATTTTAAAAATACCCCTAGCATGTATAGTATAGGGATTCTTTGTGGTTGGTCGTCTCTCTCTCCTCGGAAAGTAAATATTTTGATTTATTTTCGTTGTTTCGAGAAACCGCACACAGCCTCTGCCCCGAACTTGACAGTGTGTGCCTCTCGCTCGGAAAATGCTTGCAATGTAAGACTCCTCACTCCTCTGCTCCGCTCCTAGCCAACTTCAACTCCCTGTTCTTCCGTACGGTAGCAGCACCTCTTTCTCTACTTACCCTCTTTTTCGGTCAGGTCGGAGAACTTCACGCCGCCACTAGAGTTCGGATGTGTGGGGGAGAAATAGAGAGAAAGACGGAGAGTGGGGATTAGCATCTGTTCGTGGCATATCTATTGGTATTCACAAGGCAAAAGGAGAGTTATTCGGCAACGAGACTCGAATTAATCTGTTTCTGAATATAAATGGTGATCGTCTCAGGCCGAAGACGATGGGCAGGCAAAGCTACTCGGGGCCCTACTCAGGTGGCGGCCTCCTTGAGCGGCTCCTTTCGCCTTGAGTGCCGCGCTTAGCTTGATTTTTACTTTAGTTTTGTTTATTTTATATTTTTTTCAGTGTAATTAAGTGTGTGGAGAGAGCATTTACCTGAGTAAAACAGTGGCCGTTTCAGGCACGCGGAATACCTGAAAATATTTAACATGCTCATTGCTTTGTTTCGGTTTTCAGGGGGCAATAGAAATTTTAAGAGAGGAGGGAGTATCTCTAAAGGTGACGCTACTCCTCATCATCCTCTTTCGCCGTCGCCCGCCTCTGCTTGGGCACCACTTACACTAGGATCGCCCCAGGATCCCCCCAAAATGCCCCCATGGTCCCATCCCATCCCATTGCTTCCCCACGACACTCACCTTCCATCCAAGGTTCTCGAAGAAGGTGCACAATCGGGACTGGCCCGTCGTCTTGCCGCCACAGGGCCCTGAAAATGAATAATATAATATTGTATTATATACATTGACTTTCTTTATTTATTTACAGCCAGGTTAAGGTTAAATTTCTTAACAAAAAACCAGGGCAAGATTGCTATTTATTTTATAACTTAAATCTTTTGTAAGTTGACTAGACACGTGTAATTCCTTAATTACAATTTCATGTTATTATAACTTGTTTTAAAACAAAGAATGCTATTCTTAACACTAATTAAGTTTGTAAATTTATTTAAGGGAAACATTTAAAACTTGAAACTAAATTTAATTTAACACCCATAAAATATAAAATAAATGCTCAAGTTTGTTAAATGCTTTTCATGATGACTAAATTGGAATATTTTTGCTGTCAAAATTTGGAGTTCTTCAAATCGTTAATCGTAATGCCAAAACACATTTCTTTCCTAGATAAGAACTTCTATAAAGGCAAGTAAGTTCAACCTTCAGTTTTCCTTAATTGTGCATTGTTCGGATTGACGAGAAGGAAATAATATATAACGACTTGTGTCCCAAATTCCAGTGAGTCAGCTGCAGTCTAGAGCTCTTGGTTGATTAGCTTAGCCCAGGCTGACCCTGACTGCAATTACGCCCCTTACTGGCCATCATGGTCGATGCACTGTTCACCGATCAGGGGAAATCGATACAGAGTGAGCCAGACAGTTTGAAAAATAAATAAATGAAATCCCAGCTAACCGATAAGCAATTCTTTGAATGGGTCTTATTGGGAATTTAGTGGGAACTTTCTATTGAGTACCCTCCGCCCCACGTGGTGATGGGGCCTGTCTTTTATCATTCAGCCTGCCCGCCCCTCTTCCTTTAACGCGTCACCACAGAATTATTAGCTTTATGGGTGGAGGAAGTCAGCCCAAAACGAAAGCGATAATGCACAGGGACAAGTAGTATACGTATATACGAGAGATATGCCCGCCAATACATCAATGCTACATGTATTGTTTTTGTGGGGCTTCTAATCACAGCCATAACTTGAGCCAAATTAAATGATTAGACCACGCGCCCAACCACTGCTCATATGATGATGATGGTCCGGACAAAAAAAAACTGGTTTTATGGTGGCTCTCGGCTTTTTTCACATACGTCAGGCAGCGCGGGGGCTTTGAAAAAAGCCGGTAGCCGCAGTAGCTGTGCATAATGAATACAAAATATATTCCTATCCCGCTGGCCAGGTGGGCCAAGTGGGGAGGGGAAACCAGAGGTCGAACCGTGAGAATCCGCGTGGCGGGGAAGAAGCTGCGCGCAGGACACAATCTCTACCCCTCAATCGCAGCGCCACGACCTTGACACAAATCGTAAACAAATCGGAATTCGGGGGTGGGCCCTGGATGCGAGAGTACGAGGATACTCGGACACTTGTAACAGATACACAAAAGCCAAATTTTTTGACTTCCTGGGAAAACGAGCAAAACTCACCGCCAGTAAGGACAATCTTGTACACACGCTTCTCCTTCTGGGACACGGAGCCCATTTTGATCAACTTGAGGCTGGGCATGGCTCCGGGCTTCGGTGAGGTGGACTTGCTGATCACAACCTGCTGCTCTTGTTCCTTCTCCTGCTGCTGCTCCTGGCCATTGCTGGTGGCCATCATTGACTGCTGTCCGTTGAGGAGTGTGGCGGCAGGTGGTAGTTGGTCGGCTGTCGTGGCCATGTCTTCGGTATTCTGTCGGAGAGGAACCGACTGACTGTGTGTGGTGGCACGCAGAAAACTCTTCTACGTCGCAGCTGGCACACGGTGCACGTGCCTTTTTAGGTTATGCGAAATGGGAGCAGTGGTCGTTGCTGCTCCTGCGAGGACTCGATGCTGTCTTCTAGGTGGGGAGGGGAAAGTCAATCCTTGGCCTCACAGACTTTGCGCTCTGCAATTCAAAAAGCCGAACTCGCGTGGATAATCATGCCCAGCGATTGCGCGGGACACTGCAGTTGCGGAAAGCCGACGACTACTGGGATATAGAGATTCACCAACAGCGACCAAAGGGGCCAGCGTCAGACTGTTTGAATCCGTGCCGCATCCGAAAAATTGGGCGATATCAAAGTTTATGCGTTTTATAGTGGCACAGCATTCTGTTTACGAGTTGACACCGCATTAATATTACACAAGTCGAAGCGAAATAACGAACAATATTGAAAATGTGTGCCGACCGTCGGTCTTATACTTTTGTTGAAACGCAGTGTGGTCGAGCGCGGCTGTGGGAAAAACCTGAAAGTTATCGAAGGAGCGGGGAAGGGCTTTTTGGTCATATTAATAAAAACAGCTGATGGAGGAACTTTGAAAATAAAATTAATTAAATTGCTTTTAATTAAATTTAAACACTAGCATTGTGAACAGCAAGAATTTCTGTACATTATAATATAGTAAACACATAATAGTTTCATATATTTCTTTCATATTTCTAAAACTATAATATTTAAATTTATAATAAGTGCATAATAAAACTTTATACAAGAGTAATTATTTAAATTTAATTGCTGACGACATAATTATTTATAACAGAGGGCACTTTTCGGGGTTTAATTTTAATTTTAAAATATATATTTCCAAATTTGCGCTTTTCCCTACTTTTTTTTAATTTTGAAAGTGACCAAATTCGCGAATCATTGTTTTGGTATTTAATGTATTGAACGGGTAGTATTTAATTTACTGTGTCGATCTGGTATCATTACATTTTCCCCACTGCGGTCACACTTGATTATCTCCCAATTTAAAGCGTAGTTTATCAAAACGGGCGATGCGCGGACGTCCCCAAACAGCAATATTAAATTAAGCAACTCGCCACCAGTGCCACAAATAGTGAAATTACATTACCCAAATCGGTATTATCAAACCCACAAAGCCCTGGTGTGTACATTTTCACACCACGTAACAACACATGTGCGTGCGTGCATGTATGAGTGAGCGAGAGCGAGTGTCAAAATGACAGCAGCAAAAACAACGAAAACAACAACAATAGCAGCAGAAACAAAATCCACCATAACAAAAACAACAACAGCAGAAATATAGCCAGCCAGCTGTGCGAGGTCGTGTTTTTCCCTCTCTCCCGTTGACAAAAACGAATTAGAAAAAGGAACAACACAAATTTTAAACAAATTTTCGGTTCTTTGGCAAAACAAGAGCAAAAAAATAAAAATAAAATTAATAAAATAAAACAAAACAAAACTAGAGAAGACGGGAGACAGGAGAGAAAGAGTCAAAAATTGTTCTTTACTTGTTACCTCATTTGAAGCACACCGAGCGTGTTATGAACATACTAAAACCAGACAAGCTCAAGTGCATCGTGTTTAACCAACTGCGTCACACTTGGACGTTTCTATTGTTTGTGGCGACTCTGCTGCGGCCGCTTTTCCGCCTACCCCTACTTCCACGTCCACGGGCATCCTCTGACCAGCTGGAGCCTTCGCTTAACAACAACAACAATAACAACAACGAAGTGATTATGGAGCAGGACTTGCCGGAGGAGGGAATGGATCAGCAGGCCCAGGAAGAGCAGCAGCAGCCGCCGCAGTTTCTTCCCGACCTGCTGCCGGGAAATCAGGCGGAATTCATTGCACTGCAAGTCTATGAAGGCGTTGGCGAGCCCATGGATGCAGCCAGCGATTTGGACGAGGAGGAGGAGGACGAAGACGACGACGACGTGGATGTGGACTATGTCGACACCGATTCGGACCCGGAGTTCGAGGATATGTACTCTGATGATATGACCAGCTCCAGCGATGAGCTGGAGGAGGACAAGGAGAGCTCGAAGAGTGTGGTGAAGGCCTACCAGTCCCCGAATGATCCGATGGATCAGCAGCCACGTCCCAGCTACGCCTTCCAGCCGCTGCGTCTGGTCAAGTGTCAGTACAAGAAGAACAGCAAGAGCGGATTCCCGCTGGAGCGCAGTGGCCATCGCATCATCGCTTCCAACTCGCACCTGTACTCGCTCGGCGGCTACAATCCGCGCAGTGCCCTGCGTGCCTCCCGCCGCGGTCATTGCCTGCTGTTCCAGGAGCTGTGGAGCTTCAACTTTGCCACCCGCACCTGGAAGCTGGAGCTGAATGCGGATAATGCCAGTAATATGCCCGTCGAGCTGGCCTCCAATGCGTTGACCATTCACAATAACGTGTTGATTGTGAGTATCTATCGGGGACTATCTAAATGGGGAGGCGGGGCGGTGCTAGATGTTCAGGAGGAGCGGGAGGGACGGTTAAGCAGACGAAAATAGATGAGCGAGTTTGATTGTTTCTCTTTCTCTCGTGGCATCTCTCCATGTGTGTTTGTTTGCCTGTGTTTGATTGCACTGAGAGAAACAAGTCTAGCTTAAGATCAGTAGTTCTTCGATATACTTTATTAAGTAATTAAATTATACCTAGCATTGCTATTGGCTTTTATGGGACAATAAAAGTAATAATACAAGTAAAAAGTAAAGATTAATAAATTTATAAATAGATTAATATTATTCTGTATATATTTAAATTCCCAACAATTTTAGATAAAGTATCTTTAAAGTATGACATTCAAACTTTAAAATTCTTTTAAAAATATTAAAATCTATTTCTTTATTACAAAAAGCTATGGGAAACTGTAAGAAACCTTTAGTTTTTGCTTGAATACTTTGTATTTCATAATATCAGTGATCTTTTTTCTTTTGTTTTGTGTACATACGAAAGCGAAAACCATCAATTGCAAATGAAAACTTGTTTGTGCTTGAAAAGTTGAGAAAATACAATTGAATTGGTGGGGAAATGAGAGAGGGAGAAATCACACACAGCTGATCGCACGGAAGAGAGAGTAGAGAGCGAGAGAGAGCAAAAGAAAGAGGGTTATTCTGGGCACTAAGATTCGAGGGAATAGGAGAATTGCCAGGGCCAATGCCACGCCCAGCTCTGAGACCCAGCACCTCTTCCCTCCGCCGCCTCTGTCTCTGTCCCTGGCTGTGCCTTCGCCTCTGTCTTTTTGTTTATGCATTCTAAACACCCGAAATGTCAACCCAAACAGCTGCCCATGGCCATTGCCATTTGCCTCTCTCTCTTTGCCCACTGGCATTCCCAGTCCCAGTGTGCCACTACCACCACCTCCTCCTGGGCCTCCCCTTCGACTCTGCGCATGCCAGGCAACCCTCTTTGGCCGTCGTGTTTTGTTTTCCACTTTTCGTTACTACGCAGTTGTTGTTTATGCTGCTGCCGCATGCAACAACTTGTTTTCCAGCTTTCCCCACCTCGCTCGCTCGTGCTGGAAAACTCAAAACATTGTATTTACCATTTTTTATCCAAACAGCCAGCCAGCTGAGTGCGCGCGCTTTTTCTGGGAGGAAGCTCTGGCGGGGCAGAGGTGACTAGTTGTGGGGGAAAATTAAGGAAAACTGAAAGCAAAACCAAACGGTAGCTGTTGGCATTTTATGCTGGTTTCCCTTGGTTTCCCCCGCTGAATTCCACAATTAGCTATAATTTGATGACGAATCATGCCCCGATACATACCCACACACACAACTACAACAAAAAACACGCACTGGAAACACATGTTTCCGCTTATCTCGACTGCAGCTCGCTCAGCCTCTGTTTTGCTGCTTCTTCTCCTTCTCCTCTGTCTCTTTGTACTCCTCCTCCATGGCGTTGATAAGCTGCTGCTCAAGTATCTGCTAATTGAATGCAATGTCAGGGGCGTGGATGCAACCCGCTTAACTTCCTATATATGAATAGATGTGTGCATATATGTACATACATATGTAGTTTTAAAAAAGTCTAGGCAATTTCATATGCATAGTTTTATTAATACATTCCATTAGAAATCATTACTTGATGTCTTTATTTAACCTTTTATAATCGTAGATCTTGTATTTACTCCTAAATTTTAAATCAATAACAGAACTAAGCACAACAATTTCAACTAAATATTTTATTAGCTAACTTGAAACATTCAATTAATATTTCATCCCATCCCCTTTTCAGTCTCATGGCGGCACTGGTTATCCATTTGGAGAGTCCTGCTCCAACGACTGCTACGTTTACCGCACGGCCAGCGCTGGCGCGACACCTGGGGTGGAGCGTCTTAAGGTCACCGGTGATTTGCCCACGGCCCAGTATGGACCGGGTATAGTGATCCACAAGCACTTCCTCTACACAATTGGCGGAACAACGGGCTTCGACTACACCTGTGATGTGTATCGCTTGGATCTGCAAACCCGTAAGTGGGAGAATGTGTACATCAGTCGCCCCGAGATGCGCGATGATCCGGAGGGACGCTATCGCCACGAGGTAGTCTACGATGGCAAGCACATCTTTGTGCTGGGCGGAGGTACAGCGCACTCCGTGTACGATCTGCAACGCATTCCGGCCTATAACCTGGAGGTGAACTGCTGGGACTACTTTGATACCCATCCCGATCAGCGTGCAGCCGACATAAATGATGGCAACCGAGGTTATCCGCGCCCGCGCAAGTGCTTCTCCTGTGTGCAGCACCAATCCTCGAATGGAGATATCGAGGCCTTCATCACAGGCGGTCTACAGGTGAGTTTTTAGGGTAAAACACAACGTATTGAACAGCTTATAAGATTGGGCATCATATTGCATTTGCAGGGCGACTTCTCAACATATTTCTCGGACATCTGGAAGCTCAATCTGCGCACCAAGCAATGGTTCCGCATCGAGACTGCCACCCTGCCGCGTCCCCTGTACTTCCATTCGGCGGCCCACTCGGATAATGGGTGCATGTACGTGTTCGGCGGCATCGAGTACAACGACAAGGAGATGCGTCGTCGCAAGGACCTGTACAAGATGTGGATGACAGTGCCCAAGCTGAGCGAGATGTGCTGGGACGCCATCACCTACTACAACGACAATCTGGACTTGTATGACCGGAAGACGCTCCTCAGTGCCGGTATTCCGAAGCGTTTCGCTGAACGCCTGCCGCCGCAGCGAAGGAAGCTGCTGGACAAGAACCAGCCGGACCCGTCAATCCTATTTTCGCTGTACTCGAACCCGAAACGCGCCCGATCCACAACGCAATAGGCGTTCCACCGCCCCGTTCCCCTGTTCCCCCGAAAATAAAAGGCGAAGAGGTGGAAAAAGAGCGGACAGAGCTTCGTCTCCCCGCCATGAATCTGTTTCAGTTGCAGAACTTTTCGTTACTATTGTTTAAAAAGTTTTGTTTCACATTGAGAGCGCGCGCTGTGATCGAATACGAAGGACATTTATAGTTGTACACATACATATTTTGATATTTCGTAGACTCGGAAGAAGAAGGATGTATAGGCGAAGAACATGTTTAGCATGTATATAAGATTGTAATTAATTTTAGCTAGCGGAACAACAACAGCCAGAGACAGGCCATGCGTATGTATTCTAAACTTCAGCTTACAGATCAGCCAGCGCACCCCACACCCACGCATCTAAACTACGTCGCCTAACACCCTACAGTATCTCACCACCATCCAGGTCGTCCCCAACTCACTCGCCATATACCACGGCCCTGAAAATTGTTCACCCTTCTTTCAAAACCCAACACCCCCCCTTGCCCACTTTACACGCAAATCGAACCAATATGGAAGGCTACACCAAACAATGTCATATAGAGGGGGCCCCAAAGCCAACACCCCGATGTATTTTTGTCAAAGTGTACATAATACTTAGCGGTAGTAATATTTAATTAACATAAGACTCTCCATCATAATTGCGATATCATTGTACCAATGCAGTGCGTAGGGTACTGCCAGCCCCCGTGGTGAACGTCGGTTTGCTCGGATTATATATTATTACCCAAGACTAAATTTGGTTGAATTTAAGTTAATAAATAAATTTATAATGCAACACCATCACTCGGCATCGCCTCTAATGTTTCCGTACCATCCGCATCCTGGCACGCATCGCATTGTCCGCGGCGTAGTTGTCAATGACCTAGTTTTCCTTTCGGCACGTTCATGGCTTTGGAAGTCCTCGAAGGGATGGAGGACAAAGGCTCCGCTGAGTCATGCGCAATTTGCAATCCCAAAATGCACCCTGCCAGTAGCCATGATTTTCGGCTAACTGCGTAGCAGCACCATGGGCCAAAGTACAGGTATTCGGGGCAATCAAGCGTTTTCAAATCCGGTGGTTGAAAACAAGACGACGACTGTTGCTCTGACCCTGCGGAGCGCGCTGATGCATCACGCCGACATGGGGGAGGGAGAGTGCAGTTTTTGCTGCTTAATAGTTGGGTCCGTGACCTGGTTTTCGGCGATGACGTCACGGATTACACCTACAAATCATAGCTGGGCCGGAAGTTCTGGGTGCTAATGTTGAGACAGCGATACAAATAAAATAAAGCCTGCATATTTATATCTTGAGATATCAACTTAATTTTGAGTAATAATAAGGAAAAACAAGAAAGGAAGCTAACTTCGGTACGCCGAAGTTTGTGTACCCATGCAGATTGGATCATTAAGAATCGAGCCATTCTGGTTAAATAGTTAGAAAAAAAGTAAAGAAAAACAAGAAAGGAAGCTAACTTCGGCACGCCGACTCTGCTGTTGATGCTGATCAAGAATATATATACTTTATAGGGTCGGAAAGGTCTCCTTGCGGTTAATAAGTTGATGAATAACGTAGTGGAACCAACGATCCTAACAGGACCTTTCAAAAACTGAGATGTCTTTATTCATGGGATACCCCTGATCCCGACTGATACACAGTTCCAATTAAAAAGAGCAGTTTCCCATTCTATTTGCATTGGCAATGACCATTAATAAAGCTCAAAGTCAATAAATGGAATTGTGTGGCTCTCCTACTTGTTTAAATTTACCGCCATTGAAAAACCGTTCACACCGCAACGCCTCCTCCTTATCAGCTGTGGCCTGTCAGCGTTCAGAGTGAATGTTGTTTTTCGTTGTTTTTCTTTTTTCCACATTAAAAACATAAAAAATGCTGAAACCCAAAGCTTTGACGCAGGTGCTCAGCCAGGCCAACACCGGGGGCGTGGAGAACACACTGTAAGCGGCACCCACCTGAAGGGATCCAGTAACTACAATTTTCACCCCTCTTCCACAGCCTGCTTAGCCAGGAGGGCGCTCTCCTAGCTTACTCCGGCTACGGGGACAAGGATGCTCGAATTACGGCCGCCATTGCCAGCAACATCTGGGCGGCCTACGAGAAGCACGGAAGGAATGCCTTCCGCGAGGACCGCCTAACCTTTGTGCTGATTGACTGCGAGAACGGCCATGTGGCCATCACCCAGGTACGCGCTTGATCCCGTCTCCCATAGAACCGAAGACTTACTCCTTCTGTTGCAGGTGGCCAGTGTGCTGCTGTGCCTGTACGCTAAGCAGACCGTGGGCCTGGGCCTGCTCAAGCAAAAGGCCATGTCGCTGGCCTCGTATCTGGAGCGCCCGCTGAAGCAGATCTCGGCCTCATAAAGATAAAGCGTTGATGCGATATAGCAGATGGCGAACTGAATATGTTTATAAGTGTATGCATAAATAATGAATTAAATTGGTATAAAAGGTAGAAAGTTATCAGCTTGTATTATCCTTTGCTTCCCCCAAGTCCCTTTTCATAACTTTACGTGGATTTTAGATAGAGACGGTCAGGTGTTTATTATTCTGCAAGTTTTGTTCACATTAATTAAGATATATGTAAGGGGGAAAGAAAATCAGATTTTTGACTTATTAACTAACTGTATGCATGCGCTTATTCGATGGCATATAGCTTCAGGGTGCGGTCCATGCTGGTGGAGGCGAGGTATTGCGCGTGCTTGCCGAACCGAACGCCCGTTGCCAGGGCTGTGTGGTCGTTGAATACCTTCAAGTCCTGCCACTGTTTGCATAGGTAGATCCTGAAAATAAATAGGAGGAAGCGTTAGCAAAGGCTTGGCAACAGGAAAAATCATTGCGGAAAAATGCGAAAATTCAAGCGAAAGGTGTACCGCGAATATGAAAGTAAGTTTAAAACGGAGAGTGCCTATTTATCACTAATTCCGTGCTATACCAGACTTCGTGAGGCCCAAGACCCATGTGGAGCCGGAACCACCGAAGCCCATCAATTTGACCATTGAGGATTTTAATGCGGTAGGAAATTACGATGTATTAGCTTCAGCATGCGTTCAGTAATCTCTATTTTCCAGCGCGGCGAAATAGCCAATCCTCGTGCTCCTTGTGTGGTGACCACCATCGATCCGGACTACATAAAAGATGCCAGTTTGCAGCGCCTGGCCCGAAAGTTTCGCATGAAAACGTAAGGGATTCAAGAACACAAGGCACACATTACCAATTCCTTGCGTTTCAGGGACATTCTTCTCCTGCGAGAGATCACGCGCAACAGGTTCATGTACTATGCCACTCAAGAGCTATTCCTGGACCGAAAGCGCGAGAAGGAACAGCAGGATAGCCTGTACAAGAAGGCCGAAGAGTTCCACAAGTTTGCCGAGGATTCACTCAAAAAGATGGAGGCGGAGGAGTTCCAGAAAATGCTGGAGGCCCAGGAGAAACTAAAGGCACTGAAGGCGAGCAAGGTGGCCGAGGAGCTGAGCGAGGTTAAGTTGGAGCACCAGCGCGTCCTGATGGAAGTGCAGGAGGTCTACGGCCGCTTTCAGTATTTGCTCAAGCTGATAAGCTACTTTGACGACACTGTAGAGGAGGAGCAGGTCGAGGAGGAAGGCGACGGCAATGGGCTCGTGATGCCGCCCGAAATTGCGAACATGGAGATAACCGAACGGCATCCAGCGGGACTGCAGCAGGTGCGCCAGATCCAGGCCTACATGGAGAAGGTGGTGAGACCCTATTTGGCCAAAAGGAATCACCTCAATGCGGAGATCTGGATTCGCGGCTACGAGAGGAACCGCCTGAAGGTCTCCAACTACAACAGGCGCTTCACACATCTAGCCATCTTGAACCACATTGTGGGCATCCTTCACGACAGGTCCCAGAAGACGTACGAGCGACAGGTGAAGGCAAATGTCTTCCTCAAGGATCCAGCCTTCCTGCAGCGACGTGTGGCTACCCTTCAGGAGCGCGCCAAGGGATTGCTGGATGACTACGAGCACAGCTACTGCAGGGAGTGAGTTTAGATGGCCTTGGTCTTGAAGTTTCTATAAAATCTCCCACTTAAATCTCGCAGCAAACTGAACATCAAGTTAAACAGCGTTGTTCCCGTAATCCTGAAGCAAATTCAAAACAAAGTCCAGCCGGAACAAAAGAAACAAGTGGCAGAGCCGCCGCCAAAGCCAGTGGCTAAGAAATCATCTAAGCAGTGGCGTACTCTCGAGGATATGCAGGCTCCACCGCCGCCGCCCAAGTCCACCTACGAGGACGAGCAGGACACGACGTTGGCCAAGGTGGAGAAGATTCAAGCCCATGTTCTGGTAAGCTTAATTCTTGCGCTTTTCTCTGGGTAAAGTTTATATTCAAATCTTCTCCACAGGATCTCTTGGCCAAGTTGGATCACATTGAACCGAACAAGCTGCGCAGCGTGGAGCAGCAGGTGCGTCGTCGCATGGCTGCAGAGAAGGAGATGTCGCGTCGGGCTCTGGTCAAACAGAACCGCCTGCACAACTGGATGGCCCATTTCAAGAAGCATCATCAGCTGCAGGTGGAGCAGCGAAAGAAGAACAGGGTCTAACTAACTACATATTTCATTCAACAATTAACAGCTTAAAAACTCAAATATCCAATAAATAAATATACAAATATGACTTAAGCCCAAAGGAGGCCACGCAACTCACCTGACATCGGTGCCGGCAATCGCCAGGTAAGTGCCGCTCTGGTCAAAGCACAGATCCTTAACCTCGTAGCCATCGTCCAGCTGGATCGTCTTGAAGTTCTTTAGCTTCCGCAGATCCCACAGCTTCACGCAGGCATCATCCGCGGCGGTGGCCAGATAGTAACCGTTCTCCGAGAACGAAATGGCCGAAATGGGGCCCGTGTGGCCGGGGAAGTTGGCCACGTTGCTCTGCTCCTTCAAATCCCAAATCTTGACCTGTGAGTCCACGGTGCCCGTGCCGAAAATCAGGCCGTCGGGATGGAACTGTGCCGTCGTGAGTCCCACTTCAGCCGTGTCGATTACCTTGGTCAGCAGACGGCCCGTGCGTATGTCCGAGAAGGCCCAGTGCTTGTCCGATGAGGTGGAGAGCAAGTAGTCGCCAGTGGGATGCAGGGAGAGTCCCGTAACCGGCCCCTCGTGGCAGCGCAGGAGCAGCTGCGTCTGCGAGGTGGGCACGTGCCAGATGCGTATGTTCATGTCCGGTGATCCCGTGATGACTGTATCCTCGTTCGGGTGATAGATGACTTTGGTGATCTTCTTGGTGTGTCCCTTCAGAATGGCCACCACCTGCTCGGTGTCCTTGTTGAATACGGTGGCGTTTTTGTCGTTGCCTCCGGTCAAAATCTTACTGTGATCGGCGCTGTTGATGTCCAGGGCCAGGATGCCGGGTACCGAGGCCGAGTGCAGGCCGGGATGCGAGGCGACCGTGAGGAAGCTCTTAACCTGATCGGCGGTAACCAGATCCTCGGGCACGGTGCGTCCGCGCTTCTTGCGCTCCTGCGTCAGCACCGTCGCCTTGTCCTGCAGCTTCTGTATGACCTCGGCGCTCATTCCCGCCTGCTCCATGGGATGGGCTGCGGCGCCGCCGGCCTCGGAAGCCAAAGCTGGCTGTGGAATCGCAGTCGGGGCACTGACAATGCCCGCCTGAGGCTTCAGCGTGGCCAGAGCCTCGCGTGCGGCGGCCACCTCCTTGTTTAGTCGTGCAATAACACGGCAGGCGGCATCATGTTGGTACAAAGCGTGCGACAGCTCCTGGCGCGTCGTCTGCAGCTGCTGGCGCTGTGTGAACGAAGTTATCATCAAAGCGTCCCACTCGTCCTGCATCGTCTTGAGTGTAGCCGGTATGCTGGTGGCGCTCGGGGGCTTCGGCTTGACCACAGCCGGCGTCTTGATCTCGATCAGCTCCTCCACCTTTAGCTCCTTGCCGCTGATCGGATCGCAGCCGTTCTCCAGCAGATACTTCTCAATGACACGCTTCTCGAAAACGGCGCCCGAATGCGGGGACACCACGGGAGTCTCGGGCACTTCGTTTGAGACTGCAAAGAGAAAACCGCGTCGCATGAGCCGAAGTACCGTTGGAAGCCACTCCCAGTACTTACGTGCGCAAACCAAAGCCATTGCTGTATGTGTTTCTATCGCCGGTCGCGTAATATAGTCGTTAAATTAATTTTTTTACACGTTTTTTCTAAAATTTGTCGGCGAAGCCGCTTCCTAGATATGAAAAACTTTCGATATTAGTATCGATATCATCTGTTAGTACCGATAGTACTTTCTACCGATAGACATTTGGCGTTGCCACACCTTTTCTGTTTTTTACCAATCAAAAAGAGTTGGCAGCACTAGCACCTTGTGTTATTTAATGTTTACCACAACTTAATTCACACAATTACGGCCAATAAACGGATCAGAGAATGCTGAAAACCCTTTCACGGTGGCGCCTGGGCAGCCAGCTGCTGCGATCTGCCGCCCAAACAGTGCGACCTGCTTCGGATGCCTCGGAAAACTCCTTCGCCGGGCCGGAGGATCTCCCGAAGAAGTTCGTCAATCCCTTTTCCAAGCCGGTACCGGCGGCTAGTGGGGCGATAGAGGAGACCAAAGAGGACCGGGAGAAGCGGTTGAAGGTGCTGCAGCTGGAGGTGGACATAGCGCACCAGGAGGGCCGCCGGGTGCCGGCTTTGAGCTTCATGCAAGACCACCACTGGGAGCACGTGCTGACGCTGCCCACGAAGTCGGCGCGCATCAAGTACTTCGCGTATCTGTGGCAGATCGAGATGAAGAAAGAGTCGGAGCAGCGCAAGAGGGCCCAGCGGGCGGAGGACACCCAGCAGCGGCTGGCGGAGGTGCGGAAGGAGCGCGAGGAGAACACGCACATTATCTACGGCCTGGGCCACACGTCCATGTTCCTGCGCATCTACGACTCCACGATCAATCACTGGCAGAACAACCGGCTGACCAGAGCCATGCAGTTCGCGCCCAAGATCGTGATGGACTGCTCCTACGACAGCCACATGAATCGCCGGGAGGCGACCTACGCCGCCAAGCAGCTGATGCTGTGCTTCGCGGAGAACCGTCTCAACGACGAGCCCTTCGACCTGCACTTTTGCAACGCCCAGCTGGAGGGCTCGTGCATGCAGGGCCTCAAGCGATTCATCCCCACCATGCTGAATCCAGAGTTCCCGATGAACGTGCACACGCAGTGCTTCACAGAGCTGTTTCCCAAGCAAAATCTGGTCTACCTGACGCCCCACTGCCGCGAGGATCTGGTCACTTACAATCCGGATGACATTTACATCGTAGGCGCCATGGTCGACACAATGAACAACGAGCCCCTGTCGCTGGCCAAGGCCAAGCGAATGGGTCTGCGCATGGCGAGGTTGCCCCTGGATCGCTACCTGCAATGGGGCTCCGGATCGGGCAAGTCCCTCACCCTCAACCAGATGATCAACATTATGCTGGACCTGAAGAATACCGGCGACTGGGAGGCGGCGCTGAAGCATGTGCCACGGCGCAAGGTGGTCCAGGGCTCTGAGTTCCAGCAGCGAAAGGAAAGAGACAGCTGGTCGGTGGGAACGCGGGCGAGGAAGCTCAACATGCGAGTCGATCACTTGCTGGACTACGTGGATGACCGGCGGAAAGTATCATCTTTTGAGACGCCAAAGAAATTAAGAGAGCGTCGGGAGGGCATGGAGTTCCAACTGGACACCTGGGCGACGGGAAAGCAAAAGAAAAAGCAGAGAAACAATTAAAGCTACACGTTATTATTGCATATAGTATTTGAGCTATATTTTATTTGCCTAATGAGAGGAGGAGGTGGAGCAGGAGTCTTCCTTTTCCTGGAGCGGCACTTCGGGATCTGTTGTAGGTTCTCCAACATCTTCGGATTCTTTGTGCTCTTGATTAGATTCTGGCTTTTTATCTTCCTCAGCTTGGAGTATCTCTGCGGCATTTACGTTGTGGATTTCTTCTGCAGCTTCTGGCTCAATGTCAGCCATAATCTCGTTAAGCGTAAGACCCTCTACTTCGTACTCAATTGGGGGCTCAGGTTCTGGCTCATCCTGAGCCTCGTCTTCGGCTGCATCATCCACATCCTCCTTGTCAGTCTTTTTGTATTTGAGCACCATGTTCTTGGCATTGATGGCCTGGTAGTTGATGGACGCCTTCAGACCAGCCTGCCTCATCATTTCCTTGGCCTTGGTCTCGTACTCCTGCACTTGCTCCCTGCGCTCTACGGTGAGAAGCTTGGTTTCCAACACCATAAGAGCCTGCGTGCGCAGAGCCTTAAAGAAATCCTGACTCAGGAACGTGAAGTAGTTGTAGGCCACATAGACGATATCGAACATGTTATTCCAGCGAACAGCGCCCTGCTGCAGCTTCACTATTTCTGTGGGCGACACATAGTGCACGGTTATTCCGGGCATCGGGATCCAGGGGCGGTCGTAGGTGGTCTGCCTGTCTGCATCCGCCTCCTGGTGGGTAAGCAACGGCGTCATCAGCAGCTGAACCGATCCATAGCGACGAGAGCGCGTGGGATCGTGCTCGTAGGGCGTCTGCGTCTGAAGCTCGTGGAAGAGCTCCATGAGATTCCGCTCGGTTACATCGGTGGCCCTGTAATCGTTTTCCCCATGCACTGAGTTATGCATGCGCTCCTCCGAGCTGCGCAGTCCGAAGCCACAGAAAGGCCCTGTCTGGATGTCGCCCACATAGCCACGGTGCAGCAAGGTGTGCCCATTGCGCACGAGTCCGGCAGCCAGCGTCTTGTTTGGCTTACACTGCTCGTACTCCGGAAAGACGAAGGCCACGCCGGACTCGCGCCAGTAGCGGTACTCCTGGGAGCAGATCTGCTCGCCACCGCGACTCTTAAGGGTCATGCTCAGGTCCCAGTCAAAGGCCCCGTTCCGATGGTCGTACCGGGAGCCCAGCAGAGCCCTGGATCTCTGCTCCCAGTAGTTGGTCACTTCATACACATACCACGGCTGCGGCTGCCAGAAGCTGAATGCCATCTCCAAGCCATCGCGCTCCTTGTACTTGAGGCCATCGATATTCAACATGGGGGCCAGGCGCTGCAGCTTATCATTATCGGTGACGATCTGGAGCAGCGTGCGTCCCTTGGCGGCCATGTAATGGTGGGAAGTGGGACGGATCACCGCGTTACCGTAAAGGTCCATGAATAGATGTGCCTTGGACACCAAGCTAAAGGACTCTGGATCCTCCAGGGCTATGCCCAGCAGCAGCATATTCCTGGCTATGATCTCGGCACAGCCATCCAGCACGTATATGTTGAGCTTGGGCTGGACACCATGGGCGTATCTCTTGGCCAGGGTCTTGATCACATGGCGGGGATCAGCACCGCCGCAAATGAGGATGTTCAGGGTACTTAGACCGTCATCTCCGCCGGCACCTTTCTCGCCTGCCTCGGCCAGCGGCTCATCCTTGATCTTGAATGCCTTCAGATACTCATCGTACAAGTCCAACGCCGAGCTGAGTCCCCAAAACATCGTGACCTTATTTACGTATACGTTATTCGCAGACTGGGACTGGGATGCGTTAGCAACTGTCAGTTCGCAGTCTGTTTTTACTCGATTGACGTCAGTTGCCAGGACTACTTGTTGTCGCCGTCGTCCCGGCAACGTCTTGGTCCTGCTCCTGCTCCACTCTTGCTACGCTTTTTTGCCTGCATCCGCTGCTGGGATTATGGAGCCGTGGCAACCATAACGGAAATTGCTTTTCGATATCAGTGGCCTGCAGCGGCAGCTGGACAAATGGCCCCGTCCTGGAGGGCTCTGGTGCGATGTAGGGAGGAGCGTGGCGCTTGGCGGGGATAATGCATTATTCAGAGTATGGTGTTTGCTTTCAGCTGATTGGCAAGGCGACCGACATAAGCAAAGCTGTCGGGGATTGCTCTAGGATTCATAATTGCACGATTTTCAAAAGAAAATGGTAAGTCGTCTCAAGGGAAGTGTTTTATGCAAATGAAAACCCCTTTAAGGCCTTAATAGGATACTTTTTGTTTGTATAATTTAAAAGCACTTAATAAATTTGTATATTTTTGAAATGAATAATTAAATATTTAAAAAAGAAAAATTTTTTAATTCAATTAATTGTTTATAGAAAAATCCTCTAAGGGGAGGAATTAGCTTTATTACTTAAATACTATATAATAACAGCATTTTAACACTTTTTTTTATATTGTAATAACAAATATTTAGAGGTCTAGAAGGAATCTCCTGTGTTCCTTCCAAAAAAAGTTTGACCGCATTCATTGAAAGATAAGTCTTCAGAGGTACTCACATGGCGTTTCTTATTTTTAAAAATTCTTCCTGATTTTTTTTTTATCAGAATTGGAAACCATAACCCCGATTTTTGACTTACAAATTAAGTTACTTCATTAAATAAAAAATATAAAAAAATTATTTCAAACCGATTGGTCTAGTAGACCCTTCCTTTAATAATAATTAAAAGCTATAAAATATATTTTTAATATGTCAAGTCTTTATATGTTTTTCCTAAATATTTAATAACTCAACAATCATATATCGACCCTCTCTCGCCTCCTTAAACCCAAAAAGCGATTTAGTAAATTTCCTGTTTTTTTTTTAACCTGCTAAGCGAAAACAAATTTCCAAAACGAGATAAGAGATAATGCGTGTAGTTTTTTGGCCATTCATTTTTATTGCTGGCCTGCGGGAAAATCGTTGGTGAACAAAAAGGGGACAAGGGGCCCGCGGCTAGTGGCTCACTTAATCCTGACACACTTTGGCTGCCTTCTGCGCTAGTTTTTTATTCAGTCTCAGTTCTGTTATTCGCGTTTTCGGCACTTCTTCTGCAGCTAACTTTAGCTTGACAATGTCGAAAAGTTTCTAATACATGATTAAGTCCTTACCGTAAAGTTTCCTGCCTTGCCTGCCTGTTTGAGATGCCTTTCAAATGCGTCTGTGTTTCCCTCGTTAAACGCTGCGTATGCGTGATTTCATGACGATGGCTGGGAAAAAGCGAAGCTGTATGTGCTCAGCTTCGCCTTTGTGAAGGAATGCACTGAATATATGACCTATAAATCTGCTTAAATTACTTAATATGAATATACGACAAAAAGATAACTGCGAAAAGCCGAAGTTTTTATACACTTTCGTTAGAATTGAAAGCAAAATTTAATTTATAATTTCCTGGGAAAAGTGAAATAGTTATGGGAATATACCAAATATTAGACTTCCGAACATTTCTTTCAGTGTATGGTAAACAAAAGAAGGGGAAAAATGCACATTAGAAGCGTTTTGTGCTCTGTGCTCGGCTGCAATTATGCGAAGCCTGAGCAGGAAAAATCCATTCAGACGAACAAGATGTAGTCTCTCCAAGACTCCAGCAGCGTTGGCATTTTTTTTAGCATTTTTTTTCGTCATAAGCTGGAGGCCGAAGGCAAATGCCATTTCGGGTACCCCATTAAATTCCCCGAAAAACTCAAAAGCAGACTCCGCTCTCGGATTCCCTCGCAAGGCTCCAAGTCCCACATTCTAGGGCATCTACAACGACTTGATTTGTCTGCGGTTCGCTAGATTCAATTCATCAGAGCACAGTCCCTGGTCCCTGCCTGCTTTGCTATGGCTTTTGTCGTTGGCCAAAAACAACCAAAACAAGAAAGGAAGCTAAATTCGGCACGCCGAAGTTTGTATACCCTTGCAGATATTATTTCATTAAATTTTACCTATACTTATTATGTTGAGAGTTTGACAGTTACAGCTTTACATTCCCAGTTTTACATTTTCTCTACTTCTGCCGATCGGTTTATATGGCAGCTATATGATATAGTTGTCCGATTTTCATGAAATTTATACCAAAATTTTGAACTAATAAAATTAGCTTACATCTCATAGAAGATAAAAATAGGTTGAAAAACAACGAAGTTATAATTATTTTCTATTAATTTCTCGACTGTTCCTATGGCAGCTATATCATATATTCGTCCGATTTTCATAAAATTTTTACCAAAATTCTGGAATAATATAGAATGGCAATATCTAAAAAATGGTGCAAAAATGTTGAAAAACAGCAAAGTTATAATTTTTTTTCTAAAAATTTATCGAACATTTGTATGGCAGCTATATGATATAGTCGTCCGATCCGGCCCGTTCCGACATATATAGCAGTGAGAGTATATAGTAGACTATATGCAAAGTTTCATTCAGATAGCTTTAAAACTGAGGGACTAGTTTGCGTAGAAACGGACAGACGGACGGACGGACAGACGGACGGACAGACGGACAGACGGACAGGCGGACAGACGGACATGGTTAGATCGACTCGGCTGTTGATGCTGATCAATAATATATATACTTTATAGGGTCGGAAAGGTCTCCTTCACTGCGTTGCAAACTTCTGACTGAAATTATAATACCCTGCAAGGGTATAAAAAGAAAGAACAAAAGTAATTAGAGAGCAAAACCAGAAAAGGGTTGACCCAGGCCCAGCATTTTTTCGTATTTCCTGGCAGCTCATTAGACGAGTGTATAACAATCGATCAAGGAGACTGTGTATGTGGATGCTCGAGGAGGCCTCCTTTGCTCATTGTGGACCTGTGTCGGCGGCGGGGGCTGTGGCCGTAACCCACAGACACGAGCTCTTATCGGGAGCATTCATTGTCAATGCTTTCCGCAAACTTTTCTCATTAGACAGTGCAAACAAAATGGCTGCGTCTGCGGTTTGGCCAGGCCACCCGCCCTCTCACTTCCTCACTTCACTGCCAATCCCGCCCAGTCATCACCCAACCGCCCATCTGCTGATGTGGACGCTTTTGGCTTTTGTTTGACATTGGCTTGGCAAATGGTGTCATAATGGCCAGAGAACTGCAAACAAACAATAGCAGGCGGCGACGGAACAGATGCGGCGGCGAATAATGGAGAGCGCAGGATGGAGGGCCGCCTGCATAATGAAACGCCGACGACAGCAACGGAATTAATTGTTGCCAACTCGATGCATATGTCTCCGGCTCGACCTTGACACAGAAGCCATTAATTCAGAGATTTCCCACAAAAAATAATTAAGGATTTTCACACGTGGCGCGTGTTACTGTGGACTTTCAGGGTATTTGTTGTGAAAATAATAAAAATAATCGGGTTTTGAGTTGAAGTCGATTTCTTAAATTATCTTCAAGTTTACTTACCTTTTTCATTTGCTGAAATTAAGGAAATTATTAGTTGTTTATGAATTAAATTAATTAATTTTTTAAGAGTGTAATAAGCATAATTACTTAATTATAAAACCAATAATTAAATGCCAATTTGAATTAAATTAAAATACTTGTCGAAATGTAACTATAAAATGTTACACTTTAAACAGGAATGCGATTTCCTTCTACAAAATAAAAATAAATTAAAAAGGTGAGTAAAACTATGCAATAAAATATAGTTTAATGAAAATGTGTTCTTGTGTAAGTTATTAAAGCACACATTTTGGCACATTTTGATGTGATCTTAAATCTACAGAAATTTCGGAGTATTATGTAAATCTAAAAAAATCATTGCCTACTTTTAGGCGTGTTCATTGATTCATAATATGTAGTAATTTTCTTGAAAATTTCTGAAAGAAATAACTTCAAAATGGTTTTGTTTTTCCGCAGTAAAGTTGAGTTTAATTTCGATTTAATAGACATAGACAGGGTGTACATTTATCCGTGTTTATTCAGTAAGTAACCATATCGCTATCCGATTCCGTTTCCGTTTGCCGTATCCGTTTCCATAGTTCCTCGGGAGATGCTCGTGACTCAGCTACAGAGGTGGACACTACACTACACGCTACGTAGACATTAATTGCTTAGTTTAACGAAGTTTCACTTGTGGCATGCATAGAAATATCCAGTGTAGAAATATCAATTTGTTGTCATCAGTTGAGTTTTGTTTTTGTGTTGTATTTTTTTTCGTTCCAGGCAAGAACCTCTGATTGTCAGAAAGTTATTTAAGTTACATCCGAGGGAAGTGCAAGCCCGTGACCCGAAGAGGTGAGATTCGAACTGAGGTCGTGGTTTTCAATATTAATAATCTACAGCGAACGCGGCTGGGACATTTGGGAGAGCTTAATATATACATTAGCTTAATGTGTTGCATTAGTGTTGGCTTTGTGCTTGTGTCAGTGTGTGTGTGGTTTGAGTTTTGTCCTTTGTTTTTTGTTTTTTGTGTTTTTAAGCATAGTTACGCTTTTAGCCCCTTAGAGAGTTTGTATTTGCATTTCTCGTTTAAACAGATTCTAAGTCATTGCGATATTTAGCTCGAGTTTAGTACATAAAACACACTACGACATAAAATGTCTAAATTGGCTCGCTTAATGCTATAATTCCTACAGAGTCTGAGACGGTGGTTTATCAGATTTAACTATGTTTTTCTTTTCGTTTTTTTGTTTTGTGGGTTTTTAGGTTTCTAGGTCTTGGGGGTTATCATCTACACACAGAAACGATGGGAAATGGGGAATCCCCCAGCGGCCAAAAGCTCGATATGGGGGCTGGGAAATGGGGGTTAATCGTTACACTTGCCTGCCCCATTTATTGCTTGCCATTTTGGATAAGTACTCCGTTTAATTGCTGGGG